ATGTGTGAATCAGAAAGTCGGTTTTTGTCATTGCAGGTTTCTTTCTTTACCTCAAGTTTCCTCATCAGCTCCTTGGCTGAATGGGCAGATATAATGATGTGGCGAGCAGCTTGTGATATGAACCCTTCCTCGACAGCCATATCAATGAATGATAACAATGAATTGTAAAAGCCATCAACATTCAGCAGTCCAACCTGATGAGTTAGTTAATAATCATGATTTTTTTAGATAAAGTTGCAATAATTTATTCCAAATACATGTGATGGCACGTTCAATATGAAATGTTAAAACAAATACGTAGCTCAATGCAGTATCTGAAGTATTAGAATGATTAGTTCCCCAAAAATCTGCTTAGATTGGAAGAACATTACATGTTTGGTGTCACAATGAACAGAAACCTTTTGACTGTTGACACATGGGTTCCACTAATGTGTTCCTCGTTTTAAGATTTAAGTACATGTCGTGTAGAGGAGAAGCAAACAAAAAGCTCTCTAGCTGCAGTTTGTAACCAAAGCAAGAGACACATGCATCATTCTAATATCTGAAGTTCCTAAATAATGGAGGGCATGGTATGCATGCACATAGTTAAACTCTTGAGGCCAATGGCTACCGGAAACATGGTCAATGCTATAAAAACACTTTTCAGCAGGCACAGGATGATAATGATTGTTCCAACAGAATTATATTATAATGAGAAGCATTATATTTAAATCTAGTTGCCTATTCCTTTACTAAGAAAATGAGAAGCATCTTTTTTTTACTGTACCGGCTTCTTGTGGATTCCAAGCTGAGCCCATGTAATGACCTCAAGTAGTTCCTCGAGTGTCCCATATCCACCTGATTTGTGATTGATATTAGGAGATGATAAAAGATTGAAGTGGCTGACATGAAAGCATACAAGGTATCGTTCAGTGATAGAAATTATACCAGGCAAAGCAATGAAGGCATCTGCCTGGCGAGCCATCTCAGCTTTCCTTTCATGCATGTCTGATACAGCTCTAACTTCTCCAACTGTTCCACCAGTAAGCTGCATATAAAAAGGCATACATGTATAAGCCACATCTGCATCACGGGCATGCATCTGGGAAACTGAGAGAATAGAATTCTAGTCTGAATCTGACAATACACCAAGGATATATTAAGGTGATTGCCAAAGTGTATGCAATAGCAATTTTACTCTGCTAAAGAAAATGCAAGTATGCAGTTTTCATATACATCAAATTATATTACTAGGAAGTCCTAAAGGTATAGGATTTCCAGCAATACGTGAAAGTGAAATCCAAAGTTAATCTATGAAGAATCATGCATTAATATATTGAAAATCCAAAATATTACATCAAAAAAAAAACTTGAACAGAACACAGAGGAGAAAATTTCTTTGTTTTAGAAGAAGAATGGAGGAGTTAATATCATTCAGAAACAGTTCTACAAGGAAAAAATAATATCGTACAATCTATCATTAAAATAGAGAATTGTGACTTCACGTGCTGCAAAATGATTAGTAGTTCACCAAAATATACATCAATTTCAATCAAACAAGCTTGCAAACTAAATGGCAAACAATACATTGTTAAAAGAAGAGTAATTTATCCAAACCCACCTCCTTCTGCATCAAGGATTTCGGAATAACCCTGAGAAGAAAAATGAAATTCACATGAGCTAACCAAAAATGTAATCCTTTTAGAGTAAAGACAAATAATATCATCTGGAATCACTAGAGAGGTAGACATAGAACTAGTTTGATAAGTTGTGAGAGAAAGAGACCGGATATGAAAAAAAGAATATACACTACTCTCGTCATGGAGGAAGAGAAAAACAATTCTTTGCTGACAGAAACAAAGACAATACCATTCTACATCAAGTAAGGTCAGGAAAACCACCACTACTTGTTGCGTAACAGTGAAGAACAATGAGTTGATTGCAGCTATTAAAATGCCCACACTACATAAAGGCAATAGAAAAAGAGGAGAGACCAAGAAACTCGCGCAGCAGTATAACCCAAAACCAAACAACGTGAAATCATAGAATATGACAGATGAGAGAGAGACCGACCCCAAGACATGGCGTCCCCCATCATGAACTGCGTGAGAAACGAGGCCCATCAACCCAATGCTCCCTCCTCCGTACACCAGATCGATTTCACTGTTCACCTGCACGGCAACATGCAAATGCAAACATCAAACACCACGTCCCAAACAGCCAAGGACAGTCCCCAAGTTGCAATTGCCATTAGCTAAAGGACGAGGACGAATCGATTAATATGAAACCCAGTGGCAAAGCAACGGAATGGAAACCCCACGGAAGCGGAGTGGATTAATGTGGGGAACAAGGAACGAGTCATGGCATCGAGGCATCACGTTTCTATCTCACATAATCGCATTGATAGCATCCATTTCATCCCATTTAAAAAACAGAGCATTTGTTCCGTTTGGTTGGCAGAGATCACGCAAGAAGGCTGATCACCGGACAACCGGACTACAGCTAGCAATCCCTCATGCCAAAACCCCGGAATCCTCCCACCGCACGAGCACACCCTGTCCTCTTACAACTCCATCAAACCCTTGTCTAATTCTTCAACGAAACCGAATACAAAAGGGTGGAAAAAGTAGAATTTTGAAGCCAAAAATTGTGACTTTTGATCAATACACAATACACCCGCAGAAGAAGATCCATCGCAAATCATTATGCGAGGAACAGATCTCGATGGGAATATATCTGAAAACTAAGAGAATCCAGAAAAACAAAGAATGCAGTAGTTTTCGCACTCTAAACAATCTGAATGAATGATTTCATATCTCGTCTACGTAATGTTTAAGACCGAAGCGAACAAGGAACAAATCCCCTGTAGTAACCTCCAAGCCATTTAGAACCGAAGGAATAAAGAACAAGACAGACAAAAACAAGCGGAAAGAACGTCTTGCTTCGGTAAAGGAAACAACTTTCTTGAGGCAATATTTACCAGTTCCTTGCCGAGCTCGATGGCGGCCTCCTGGTAGCTAGTCTTCTTCCCGCACTGACTCCCGCAGAACACGCATATCCTCCGAAACCTGGATTTCTTCTCCACTGTCACCTCTGCCGCCATGAACTCCATGTCATTGTCTCCCTTCATCACCGTTAGCGAATGAAATCGTTCTTCCGAATGCTTTCGATTCCTCTATCGCGCGGGATCTACGAAGACGAGGCCTCCGCCTCTCTCCCCGTTCGGTATTTATAACAACGGGTGAGAGAGGACACTCGAACCTTTCTTCTTTTTGGGCTCTGAACCCGTTCCTTATTTTTTTCTCTAGGGTTTTGGGTTCGGGAAACGAGCCTTCGGTGGGGAAACTCCGCACGGTCATCTCGGTACGAAGCCTCGCATCACCGTTCACGGAGCCTTCATGATTCGTGTGAACGGCGATCGATCTGCGAATACCGCTTCGAATGAATCGGGCGGGCAACCAACGGATGGTGATGGAACAAAGATATGCCAAGATTCGTGCCAAGATGGCCTCATCGGACGGCGATGGTTCATCTCCATTCACACATGCTAAGAAGGGGAAAAGCGTAAGTCTTGGTCAACTAACTAATCAAATCTTTTTCCTCGTGTCTCGCGTCCACCGATAGAATCTCAACACGTCGGCGTGGTGGGAACACAATATATATCTTCTGATATTGCAATCTGCGTATACATTGTTTTATATGAGCAATTAATGTTATCAATAAATTGTTGAATTTTCTTGGAAAGATTCATATCTTCGATATCGTAGTTTATCAACTTGCTGTGTGTCAATCTTCCAGAAAGCATAACAAAGATTTCTTTTTGCTGGAGTGTCTCAATCTTAAGATCTGGTCTGATCCACTGCGTTCCACCTCGATAACTTAAAAAGGGTATCAATCTCTCGATCAAAAGCATTATTTGGTCAGTATAAATGGATGAGGGATGGCAGGAGATCCAACCAAGGATCTCATACACTCTGGCTAACATCTCTCAGAAATCTCACAGCTGGGAAATAGCCTGTCAATTATCCAAACTGCGGCTAGTTTAGGCTTTAATACGTGCGGCAGATTCGGAAGACCGAGAATGACATCACTACATGCATCGGGTTTAAGTTTGATGATCACAAATATAAATGCAATACTGGCACAAGAAAATGCAGTTGATGGATCACGCGGGAATATATTTTTTTGTCCTGGAGAATGTCAAGTCAGTGGAAATCTACTTGGTTCGATGAATATAAATATATATATAGATATATGAACTTGTGACAACAACGTTGGAGTAGAAAAAGGAGATACTGCGGAATCTACGTAGTTGCTCCCCAACCACCACCTCTGCGTGGAAGAAGTGGCATCAGAGATTGCCCTTACTTTGGTCATGTCTGCCATCGAGGATCCGAGTTCCACATGGAGCAACTATATGTTTGCTGCTGTTTACCCATAATTCAGCTTAGGCATAATGATGATAATTGAGGCCTGAGAAATAAAGTAATTATACATCTTATCTGCAAGTCGAGGCTTTGGTTGAATCCACTGGTTGCTGTTTGTTTAGCAGAGGGAGGTCATCGAGGGCTGGTGCAGGTTTAGCAGAGCCTTACATGCCTTGTCTTATAAGCTAATTCATGATTAATGCATCGCCTCCAAGACGTACCAAAATAGGAGAATATTGTAGTTGTCGTATTCAGATTGCACAGGCCATTCTTCTTTCTTGTGTACGAGCCCAACTTAAGTTTGATAAGGAATAGCATAGGAATATTACATCCACACTGAAGGAGACTGACCTTCTTCGGTCAAGACTACAGCTCTAATCATAGTTCGAGATAATCCAGTACTTGATCATTAGACATCAATTGCCACACTAACTTATCACCATCACAATTGACACAGATCAGATGGTGCCATCAGATAACGGATGGTCTTTTGTCACCGCAAACAACTCATAATGGAGTCGAAAGCATTCAAAACTTCATGTTCACCTCATCTTTAAGAAACCGAGGATGCAAGAGTGTGACAGAGGTTGGATATTCCCATTCAAACATGCTATAGCATAAAATATATCAGTTGTAGGAATACAGGACCAACTTATATAAGAAGCTCTTGTTCATGTACAAAGCAATTACCAGTTTTAGAAACAAAACTAAAATGGACAACTCACGTTTAAGTCCATAATGTAATAGAGAGAGACATTCGAGGGCAACGAGACGATCAAAGCACACATTATATACGACTTGAATTCTTCGCAACCACATGCATCGCTTGGCACGACTGGCTGATAAAATCTAGTTCAGACGTCAACTAGCCTTTTCTTGTATCCTCTTAGATTACAGTAGAACATAGATTGAAGGCTGCAGTAGTTTGAAGCTCTTGAACTAGATTTGAATCACAAGGCAAGAAGCGTTCTCAATAAGATTCGTGAGGTGGGCTCTCTGCGTTATCCATAGATGAATCGTTGGAGCTGAGAGAATTAGCTTCCCGGTTTTGATTTGAATCCTGGTTTCTAGCTCCTGCATTTCCGGTCTGTAGATCAGCATTTGGAAAAAATCCACTTCCTTGAGCAAGCTGATATGGTTGAAGGCTCCTGCGTACAGGGCTGGAAAGAGCATTTGAGAAAACTGAGTTTTTCGCTTGATCAGCATGACCACTTCGGGGGGCAAGTCCAACTGTTGGCTGTCCAAACAAACCAGATGGAGGTTGGACACCAGAGTTTGCTATGTGCATTGTTGTTTGTTGGTGTTCATGTTGGAATGGTGATCTTGGAGTGATTAATGCATCTTCTCCAGTATAATCCATCTCACTCTGATTGAAAAACAAACAGATTATAGAAATTGAATTTTGTTTGTCTTTTATACTGCTGAAAAAAGATATACATACACTGATAGACAAATATATTCATTTGTCAGTAGAAAGTACACAAAGAGAAAGAAAGAACTGCTTACAGCAGAATACAATTGTTCGGCAGAAAAAAAGTGAATACTTCTAAACTAATATCATCTTGAAGCACTTTGTAATGCTTAAAGTTGTACAAATCACAGAACTCTACGAGTCAATAGCAATCAGACAGAGCAAGCTCGACAATAATAGATACTTCGGAAGAAACCATGCAAGATTTTCATGTTAATATTAACAAGGTAGAAGTGCATTGTAGGCAATGATTATAAATGACTTTAATTGTACACACAACAGTGGGATGCATAAAAAGCCAAATACTTGAATGTGGTGCAACATTTTTTGAATCAAAGTATCAAACACCAAAAAAGAGATTTGGAAGTTACTCCTCGACTTGAATACTAATTCACACTATAGCCTACACTCGATGAAGGACTAACATGGGGTCACACTAGTGCTAAAAGTACCGGAAATTAAATCGAAAATCAAATGACATGATAGTTGAAAGTTGAAGCAACAATATCACATAGGAAATCAATATAATAGAACCTGAATATGGGTAACTATATCAGATACAGTAATCCTTGACCCTTCCTCATGCTTTCTCATGATCCATTGATAAAGCTTCTCCTGCATAAACATGAAATGAATGAACTCAAGAGTACCTAACAAATATAAATTTTTAAATAGCCAACAATTGCATACGACTTCAACTAGAGAAAACATATCAAAGTCAATGAAAAACTCAAACATGGATTTGGTTTGTTAAATAAGGAGAAACTGTTTATTGGTGGGTCATTGGCTAGAAACTGGGTTATAAATATCATACTTATTAGTTTCCACCAACTGCAGAGAATAACTGTGCATTATGAAAATAAAGTTGAAAAAACAAGATAGAAAAGGAAAACAAGTGAAATAACAAATAAAAGGCAGATAAGGGGAAAGAAAAGAGAATAGTAATGTATCTGCCTTAGAGGCATTTTATTAGATCACTTAACTAGTCAATGACTTCCCCAATTGGGGCTCTTTGTTAAAAAAGAATGTTATTTGCATACCCAACTTATTTCAAGAAAACTCCCATAAACATTTTTAATCAACATTAATTTAGATTAGTGATCAGATAATAACCCACTAGAATTTACTCAAATTATACTGAGAAAAGCTAACTTGATGAAGCAGAGTAGATAGCTATAAGATGAAGTAAATAAAGCCAAAGATAATTAGACCATGGTGTTTTATTACCAGTCCGACCAAGGATCCAGTATATGGTCGTATTCGAATATGAATTAGACGATACTAGATGGTACAGATTGATATCCCATTTGGTATCAATGGGATCGTACTGGTCTGATTGATTACCAAAATGGCATAGGACCGAGGTTCAAATACATGACTTAGACATCCTATCTAAATGTAATTACTTCCTTTCTATGTTGCCTGCAACACCATCTCATTTCATAATTTACAGAGATTGAGTCATCTCTCCTAAAGGAAAAAACATTGAGAGAAATAAATGCATTTTTCAACAGACCAAACAAGGAAAAGAATCATCTTCGTAGCCAATGCAACAGTCAACTTGAAGACTAAAGTTGATTGTCTCAAACCCATCGATAAGAATAAACAATAGGATAAATCAGTCATGTCAGAAAAAGTTTGTCATTAAGATTTACGCAGAAGACATAAGCGAATCTTTTCTCCAGTTGAAATGTTTGATGGTCAACATACAAATTAATTTCTTAAAGACAGAACTAACTATGGCGAACATCCATGTGAATTATCATTTTAGAAAATAGTATATTAAGTGGATTGATAATCCCAGGTGTCAACCATATTCTCCTTTCAGAAGAAACTCAGATAGTTATTCTTTACCAATGTGTACGGACAACCCATATCACCATGTTAGCACTATTAACTAAAATGAATATAGCTTAAGCGTTTGTAAAGGCTCTCAGTAGCTGAAATTCAGCAATTTCAGATGAAAACTTCAAATATCGGCCATAATTCACTTCTCTTTCTTATTGCATTTACCATTTGCTTTTTCATTTTGTCCCCCTCCATGTAAAATCTTGTTTATAAAGAATCAAGTCGATTAAAAGAACCATGTTCAAGATCTTCTGTAGCAAATCTTGGGTACCAAGAAAGTCATTTGAAGAGACATGCTATTCCCCCGTTCGCATTAAGCACTGCTTGCTTCTTTAGGAATTGCAAGCAAGAACGAAAGATCTATTTGGAGAGGCGGAAACCAGTAAACAGACCCCAGCTCTCCCAAGTTCAAGACCTGAAGTTAACCACAACGAAGGATCCCCTTCATGTGAACAACTGAAAGTTCACGAAGGTTTTTTTCACTCAAGACAAGACTAAAAGGAAATTTGAGCAAACCACCCAATGGAAACACAAAGGTGAGAATTTAACTGCCATAAGAGGATCCAATAGAAAAGAAAAAAAGAGTCACATTCTATCAACGAGAACCTTGTTACATAGCAAGCGATTCTATCTAAGAACCTAGCCCATGATGGTGATCATCGAACTCTACAATAAGAAGAAGACGAAGAAAGAACAAGCATCAACTTAGGAATCTGAGAAACCCTCCAAGGATAGGGAAAAGATCATGAGAGAGAGAGAGAGAGAGAGGAATTAACCAGCGCATGACGCTCGCCGGCCTGGAAGGCAAGCTTCTGCTGGTTCATGGCCTGCGTGTAGAGCTGCGAGAGGGAATTAGCGGCAGCGCAGAAGGTGGAGTACAGCGTCCGATCGGCCTCATCGAGCCCCGTCGCCTCCGATTTCCGCTTCCTCGCCATCGATCGAACCAAGAGGCGAGAAGAGTGGGGGATCGATCCTCTCCTACCCCTCTTTACGAAACCCCGATCCGTTTCACTGACGCAAACCCCAATCCAAACCCAAATGCAAAGCAAGAGAACGAGACGAAGCAAATTTGGGCACTAATCGCCCTGTATAAATTATAGCGGGTTGTAGAGACATATGCGTGCTCCGCATCCGTCATTTCCTGGTGGTTTAGGTAGTTCTAATGGGGTATTCGGATCACCACCTTCTCCACCACCCGATCCAATACGAGGAACTTCATGGGCTCCACCACTTTCCTTGTGATTAAAAAAAAAGGTAAGATCTTCTTTAAAACCATAAATAGAATTTTAATATATTTACTTTAATTAAAATATAATTATTTATATAATTTAATGATAATAAAATATCTATATATCCAATCCAAAATAATTGTTAGTGAACAAAAGTACCGGTGAGTCAATACGATTAGGTCCGCGAGCCGATGTCAGGAGCTTCTCGTGGAGTGGGTAGGATGATGAGATGGTCGCACTCTCTGGAAGGAATGCTGGTTGGCGCTGGTGGGGCAGACAGGGTTGACTGGGCCCTCGCGAGGGGGTGTTGATTAGCGTTCCTCGGTCTGCCGACCCGGGTGTCGTTTGTGATGGGTCGCGTCCCTCCGACTTCGGGGCGTATGGCAGTGCGTCCTCGTGCACTGGATGACGATTCTTAGGTTGAGACGCTTGCCGCTCGAGGGTGATCGCCTTCCTGCAAAAATGGCCTTCGTCGGGTGCTCCCTGACTTTGGCCCCTTCGATGAGCAAGTTAGTCGAGTGTTGCTTGTCTCGATCTTATTTTTCCTGCCCCCCTTCTACCGGGTGTTAGCCAGGGGTTTTTATACTATCGCGTAAGGACTGGTTGTGCCTCGGTTCGATGTGACCGTTGACCTCTGTGGGATGAAATAGCTTCTCTGACAAGTTGACGTCTTTAGGGATGCCTGAGCGGCGTCAGATGGCACCGCCCCAAGGTCTCGGGGTGGTCATGCCGCATAGTGTATCGGTACGAAACTCGACGTGACGTGCATCATGAGGTTCTGATGGCGTGCGGCGTCGATTTCTGACATTGGTTGGAGTGTGACGTGTGTGGCGTGTGACGTCGATGATGACTCATCCGGGGACCAAAATATGTCTTATCAATAATCAAAAAAGTTTATTATTTTTTAAAAAAAATATTTTTTAGTCAAAATATTCTATAAAATTTGACATGTCTATAAGTTACAATGTTAAGAGATCCATCAAAATATTTAAAATAAATAATATTCAATAAGCAAGTGAATGAAAGTTAAAAATTCCAGCACATCTCGAGAAAGTTCAATCAAACTCCTTAAGCCATTCAAACATGACAAGTAGTTCTTCCATAACGAGAGCTGATGAGGCAAATGTCTTTGATAACGATATCTATATATTCAAAACTAATAATATTTAAGTCAAAAGAGTTGACACGCTCAAGAAACAAGGAAGGAGATACTCTCTATATGTTGCTTGATCCCCTCATGTACATTAAAGAAATATAGATCATTTGTGTTAGTGATAATCCTATAATATAAGAGAAAAAACTTTTGGATAGTGGTTGCAGAAGTGAGAGCTACCAAAGGTAGTTAGCAATGAAGCTTTGAATTCAAAGACACTTAAGTATTGATAGATCATAACATTGAATTCAATGAGGCCAGTCCTTCTAGTGGTTGAAGATTTGAAGAAAAAAAAATTTAATACAGAAAATTCTAGAATGAATTGGCAAAGTCACCGCAAAGGTGATTAACCAAACAAGGCTTATGGAAAAATTGAACAAATAACTCAATTATGGAAAGAGCTTCCAAAGGAATGAATATTTTGACCTTTGATGCAACCCATAGCTGCTATAGCACCTTCCAACCATCTCAATTTTGTTCTTCTTATTATTTGTTATCCTTCACATATGTATAAGTATTGCTTGTAGTAAGAGAACCCTTGATCCAAACATCATCATAGGGAGCTATGATACGTGAATCCAAATAATACAATTAATGAACAATGAATGAAATTGTCATAAGTTTATCCAAATCCTAGTATCTTGTTGTAAAAAGATCAAAAGCAAAAGTAATATTCTCAACAACATTGATATCAAAGAAAGTATTCCAACAACTAAAAGACAGTGATATAAGGATCAATCAACACTTTAATTTGAGTCCCTCTAAGTCTCTTTTAATATGATTAGAGAGGCCACGCCTAGCATAATACATTCTTATAGGGTTACAATTATTCAGATGTGTATTCTCATTATTCAAAAGAGGTAAAGTATGTTTAGCATTAATGATTTTTTTTTATAGGCTTTAGGTCATATATATCAAGGCCACCATGGCATTTAGGATTGGTATCATGATCTTAATTGATTAGCTTGTGTTTATTGTATTTAGAGCAATCATTCTAAAAGAAGTTCTTAGTGATTGACCTATATTTCTATTTTTTTTTTTGAAGTCGAGGAGTTTAAAAGAGTATGAGTCAAAATTAAGTTGATAAGAGAGTTGATCATAATGATTTTGCTAGCATGGGTAAGAAAACCTTTGTTTTAACTCTTGATTTAATCGACAGCTTTGTTATTTTATTTTGAAAGCGTTCAATAATACGATCAAGAAGACGAAGATGCGACATAAGCTAAGACCCTTTGTTAAATTTAAGTATGTTATAGATTTAATGTTTGGATTGAGGAGATAGTGCTTTGGAAAAATGATATGAGAATTCATAATTTTCAACATAAAAAAAAGGTTTACACATACGAGCAATTTGTCAGCTACCCTAACCCACTCTAAAGCAACTTCATCTAAAAGGAGAATCTTATCCCTCGAGCCATCCTCCGTGGTATCGTGAAAAGCCTTTTAACATCATGCAAATAAGAGACTTAAAGATAGAATCAGACTTAACATTAAAAGAGAAAGGCTAAAGAGTCTTATGTGAGATAGCTCTTGTAATAAATTGAAAGCCAATAGAAAAGGATGGAGAGAAAGGAAGAAGCTCTGTATCTATACATTGGCTCAAAGCTATGAAAGGATTAGAGATAAATGTAGTGGGGGTGGCTGAGGGTTTCCACATCAGGCTCCCACTTGTAGCACCATGAGTATAATTATTCAAAGTTTTGTTTTAGTATTGCAATAAATCCTTAACACCTTTCTTAGGTAGTGCAATAAGCATAAAGGGCAATTGAGTTAAATCATAAATGACATGAAGCAATGAAGAGGACAAGGTTTGCAAGGAGATTCCTTAGGTAGCACATTATATTATATATCAAGTATTATTAGGATTATATTAAGATTTACTAAGAAGTCTACCCCAATAATCAAGAATATACCAGACCTAGTAAGGACTGATTCAACTATAAAAATCTCAATGGTCTAGTTTGAGTTGATGCTTTATGGTCTATGTTGGATAACCAAAATCAAAAGACTTTGGACCCAACCTAGGTTGCTTTATAACACAAATAGTAGGAGCCCTCATTTAATCCTTAGGCTTGCATTAAACTCCTTTGACTCATAAGCCATAGGTGGACTGGTCTTTAACTTTTGCCTAGTTAGCATTAATTTTCTCCATCGTTTGAAGGCACAAGGGTGTTGGAGTCTAAAATAACTATAGGGTTGATATTAGAATAGTGACTAACCATAGCACAACAAAAGTAAATATTGAGAATATTCTCATATGCTATTATTTGAAAGAATTGGCAAGCACTCCTTGGTCCAAAAGCTGAGATTTAGAAAAAATAATTAGAATGGAGACCCGAGCGAACTTACCTATTGATCACGATAAGACAATCTCATCGATCTTGATCGGTCTTCTAATCTTGAAAATAATTTTGCTAGGAATATTAAAGTGAAAGAGTTTAAGCGGTAGTTTTGGAAACAGAATTCAGGTCAGAGTAACCTTAACCATTTAGTTTAAGGATTGAAAGTTATCCTTTCAAGAAAGCATAATTGAGGCTTAGCCACCAACGAGCTAAGATCCTCGTGAGTGAATGTCAATCATTTACAAAGAAGTAAATTGAAAGCAAAAGAAACTAGAAATCATGATAATAATTTGAATATCATGTAAGAAATTTTAAAATCTTAAAAGAACAATATCGAGAAATTTCGATGATGTGTGACCCAAGAACTTACCGTAGGCATAGTTTAGCCAAGCCTCTTTAGTTATTTAACTCATTAGGATCAAATTCAATTACCATATTAATTTTTTAAAAAATATAAAATAAGAAATCATTAACATCAGAACACGTTTTATTATTATTTTATAATTCTCTAAACAAATATGTAAGTAGTTGGAATAGGAAGAACAAGTAAAATGACGCCGAAGATCCTATAGGTCACTTGTTAGGAGAGAAAGGGAGAGGAAAAACTAATATACTTTGAGAAGGAGAGAACGAGTGCTATCGTCAAAACTTATATTACTTCGAAGATTATGCTCCTAAAATGGGTAAAATCAAAATAACTAACTCAACAAGGGACATATTTGATCTCATATACAATGTTCGTTGGTTTGAGTATCTTTAACGTATTCAAATATTTTAAATTTTCAATAAATATTAGTAAAAATAAAAAGATTAAATGACTGTTAGAAATTGGATGAAGAGGTTCTCTTAGCGCAAATCGGTCCGCGAGCAACATTGATGGCTTCATCTGAACCATGCGATGGACATCAAACGACTGTGATGCGACCTTTATGCTCTCCTCATCTGAACCATGCGATGGACACCAAACTACTGTGATGCCACCTTTATGCTCTCCTATAACATAAACCTAAACCGCGTCGCTTTCGCCTCTCCTCACCTCCAGCGTTGGCTTCGCCGCCTTCCGTCGTCGGCTCTTCCGATTGGTGTCACTGCAAAGGGGCGCAAGATGTTGCTTCGCCGCTCGTCGGAAACTCTGCGGCTCAGTCTCATCCACCTTCGCCCGTTCTCACATGCGGCGGCGATCACCCCGAAGGAGGGGGCGCCGCTGGATCCTCTGGCCCCCCTCGAGTACCTGGAAGGGCTCCCGAGACCCGACCCGAAGCACGCGGAGACGATCATGGCGGTCCCGCGGGCGTCCTCCGGGAAGATCATTTCGGCGAAGGAGAGGAAGGCCGGGAGGGTGCCCAGCATCGTGTTCGAGCAGGAGAACGGGGAGGAGGGAGGGAACAAGCGGCTCGTCTCCGTCCAGGCGAAGCAGGTTCGGAAGCTTGTTGACCATTTAGGCCAGTCTTTCTTTCTCTCCAGGCTTTTTGAGCTCGAGGTGCGCTCGGAGTTCGGTGGCGCCGGGGATCTTATCGAAAAAGTCCGCGTCTTGCCACGGAAGGTTGGTAGAGAAAGGTCGAATCTTATTATACTTTTCTTCCTTTCTTTTTCAAATTATTTTCCCTTAAGAAAGAAATAAAGAGCGATACTTTTCTAAGCATCCCGAACTTATACAAGACATTGAAAATATTTAGCATGAGAAGCGGGCGACGATAGCTTATTTCTTAGATTGATATCTAGTGTAATTGTTTATGGAGATAAGATCGAAGTAGGATCTTTGTTGGCAACAATTTTCCTTTCTCTTTCGATCAAATATTATGACAAAAAGCATGCTTGATTTGTAAAAAACAAGTATCCTTGTTTTCTCTGGTTTCTGCTCAAGTAAATTATGTTACAACAAAGTCAGTGTCAAGGATGTATATAATTAAAATTTGTTTTACTATCCTCACTTTGGTTCTTGACTAGATGAGGTTTATATACATTAGTGTCCCACTTTGGTTCTTGGAGGGATGTGAGGTATGAACTCCAGATATTGTCAGGTAAAATGTTGATGCCTATAGTGTAGGAAAGGAATTGAATAAATGGAGATCACTGCCATGCTATATCATTAACACCAATCTTGAAAATAAAATTAGAGGAGAAATGAGCTAGTTCCTCTTTTTTCCACCAGTCTAAGTGCAAAAAGAAAACATCAATAAGGTAGTTATCTTTCTCATCTGCCTGGCTAACGCTTACTCTCAGCATTATATTTTGTTTGATTTGACTTACCAACTAAGAGATCTTTGAATCTTGTTAGTTGCATCTCCACTCGGCCACTGATGCACCCTTGAATGTGACATTTTTGAGAGCTCCTTCATCGGCATTGTTAAAAGTTGATGTTCCTCTTGTATTCAGAGGAGAAGATGCATCTCCTGGACTTAGAAAAGGTATTAAACTCTGTGCATTGTGTTTTATGTTTGATGCTGTATAATGCAAACCATTTCTTTAAAATATAATACTTATTTTCTGGAAGTATAGTATATGCTAACTTTCAAATTTCTCTTTATTCGCCGTTCTTAATACAATAAGTTGGATGCACACCATAATTTTCTTTAATGAATTATTTAGTAATTGTTGGACCCTTTCTTAAAACTTAGAAGGACCAACTTTTGTCTGGAGAGCTCATTGTTCTTAAAAGAATAGTTTCACCTATCTATTTTTCTCAGTTGAACCAGAACAAATACATTATGATCTTTCTCTGTATTCTCAATGTAATTGTCTGATTTTTTTTACTTTCATAATTTCATTAACTCTATAGCTGTATTTTTAGATATAAAACAGGATTGTTAGTCATAGCTCATTCAAGTTAGTTACATGGTAGAATCTATTTCTCCTTCCATAAATACATATCGTGGGATTTATCATTACTACTCTGATCGCTTGCCTGGGATCTTGACTTCCTGATTTTGGAATTTGGATCCATAACCATTAACAACAAACACTGTTGCATGAAAAAGAGAGAAGTAAGATTTTTTTTAGTCATATTATTAGTACTGGGTTTCATTTAATTAGAGCTGATCTGAGATTTTTTATAGCATTCTTTTACGTCAGTGTTGTAATTATATTGTTTGTTTATTGAATTTTTTGCTATATTAGCAAATATACAGGTGCAGTATACGTAGGATGATACTTAAATCCACAAATAAACGGTGAAAGAGAAAATAAAAAAGCATGGACTTCTGTTTCAATATTTGAGGGGGATAAGAGACCTTTTTTGCTGCAATTGTGAAAGCAGTGTGGTTCAGATTAGAGCAATGGTTGATGATAGAGAAGAGCTGACTAATCAGTATGATGTGAGATTTTCATGAACTGGATCTATGCTCTTTGCATCTGCAAATCCAGACTTACTAAAGTGCAAAAAGATGATGGGGAAAGTGTAATGATGCTGGCATTTAGGTGCGCATGACTAAATGTTTCTTCAATGGAAAGTAAACCCAATGTTAAATACCTAGGAGAATCGGTCTAGTAAGTTGAAAGTCATACTACAGATTATCATGCTTTTCTACTTTAAGACATATTTAGATGTACCAATGAAAGGAAATTCTTTTGCATAAATTCACATCATGAAGGAAATATTCATGATTCATTTATAATTATGAAGCAATATGTTATATTCAGGTTTTAGCTTTCATCGAGATATTTAATGAGTTTTCCAATACATTCATTTTCTGTAGTTAATTGGACAACTGTTGTGACCTTTTTCTATTTACTCAACAGGTTCCTACTTGAATGTCATAAAAAGGACAGTCAAGTATCTTTGCCCTGCGGACATTGTTCCACCATACATCGATGTAGATCTGAGTGAATTGGATGTGGGCCAGAAGTTGGTAATGCGAGACCTGAAGGTTCATCCTAGACTCCAATTGCTTCAATCACCGGATCAACCTGTGTGTAAAATTGCAGGATCGGGGGCTCAGGAGAAGAAAAAATCTAAATGAGTCTTCTCCGAAGCAAGCCAGTGAACCATATCAACAGATGTTTGGTATCTGCTGTCATCCTCTTCCTCCTGTGCACTTTCGAGATTTTCCATATGATGATTCAGGCTAGCTAGGACTAATGACTTCATAGACAGGAGGAGGGCTCCTTTATTGCTGTATCAGAGTTCAGAACTCAAATGGTATAAAATCATGAAAACATCAGAAGAGATTAGGTAGAAGCTCTTGCATTTCTGTGGACAGACAGATAAAAGATTGATACAGTGAACCCCTGAGTGACGGAGGAGGCTACGTTCTAGCCGAGTTAGTGTTATTTCATATTTGTACGTTGTTGGCAACTTTAGCGTGGCCTCATGAAATGATTGCTCGCTATATAGTCATTAATAATGACTCTACTTTTTTACTTCGGTGTGGTGGAGCAACCCAACAGTTGATGAACACCATCGATATTGACTCTGTTTTTTGATTTGGCAGTGGTGAATCGACCCAATTGTTGACGTACTTTTAGTTTGTGCTGCTGCCACAACGACGTTGACACAACGACGTCGGTGACGTTCTATGTATCGCAAGGTAAGAGGGAATAAAACGGAAGATATGCTTACCAGTAAAGAAATCCACATATTATCGATGCTCAAAGCTAAAACATCAATGTCTTGTGGTCTCTCCGAACTCCCGTGCTTCGCATGAACGCTTCGGGAGAGGATGGTTTTGAGAGTAAGTCTTTGATCTGTTTGCCATCTAATTAAGTATTCTTTATAATTAAGTGCGTACATTAATTAAGCATATATGATTTGTTTGCCATCTAATTCATACTATTTCTGTTTGACTCCTCTAATTAAGTGATTTGCCACCTATATGAAGGATTTAATGGTAATGCAAATAGTAATCTCCTCGACTCATTCTTCACGCCCGCAATATTTGACCCCAAACTCCAACTCGACCTCGGAGGCAATCCATCGAACAGTGTCGTTTCCATCGGCCCCGCTGTGGACCAAATCGGGAAGGCAACGACAGCATGGCGGAAGCTGTTCTCGTCGTCCTCGTCTCCTTCCTCTCCCTCGCCCTCCTCTCCTTCTCCCAAGATCCTGACCTTAAATCTGGTTCCGCTTACGACGAGCTCAGGACCAGCGGGTTCCCCGTCGGCCTCCTCCCCACCAACGTCCTCACCTACTCCCTCAACCGCACCTCCGGCGCCTTCGCCGTCGACCTCGACGACCGTTGCCGCGTCACCCTCCCCCCGGACAACTACCTCGCCACCTATTCCCGCCGGATCACCGGCAAGCTGGCGGACCGCCGAATATCCGACCTCGATGGCATCAGGGTCAAGGCCTTCTTCCGTTGGTGGTCCATTACTGGGATACGCTCCACCGGCGACGATCTGGTGTTCGAGGTTGGCGTCGTCTCCGCCAAGTACCCCTCCCGTAACTTCGACGAGAGCCCTGACTGCGAGGGCCGCAGCCCTAGAAAGGCCGCCTCTTGAGGTAGATGAGACGTTAACCGTCTTTAAAAGTTTGATCTTCATCGGGGTTTTGGTTCATTTACTGCTTTATCGTTCCCAAATTTTTGGATGCGATTGGATCTCTAGATGAAATTACCTTGACTTATTTCTGGTCTCTTGCTTCTTCTCTTACAGTGTAATTCATTATTAAGATATATCATGGTCATCGAATTATTTCTTTTCTGGAATTTGTATTAATTGGGGAACAAGACGAGAAATTTCACTTCTTGATTGGAGTTTGTGATGCTAGAAAATTTAACCCTTGGCAAATGATGTGAAAATGGAAAGCACAAAATTAAGGTCTCTCCTTTGTGACAGAGAAACCAGGTTTAGAGTCGTGAGTGATGTAAAAGGCCTCTCTTTGCGTATGAAGATTCTCTTTGGATCCTGCATTGACGGGAGGCTGGTATGTCCTTTTTGAAGCAAATGATGTGAACATGGAGTCTGAAGGGCTTGCTGCAGAAAAATGTGACCTATCTGTTAAATATGTTATGGATGTTTGACTAGGCAAACCTTGTGAAGCAAGCTAGTGTTTAAGCAATGCCTTCCAAGAGGTCTAATGGAGAGCTAAACTTTCCTTTCTAGAACTTTTAACTTCTATTAGGAAATTGTTCAGTCCATAAAAGATATTTGTGGTACGTAGTCTCTGTCAATCTTGATGAAGCTTATACTAAACATGGGAAGCACATATTGTATATGTATCCTCAATCCTGTTGAAAATTTCACTTTCAGATAGATTTGTCTTCTAACTGCTCTATGAAGATAAGTTTATTCAAATTTGTAGCAACATTGGATTTTTCCCAGAAATGGTAAGAGTCTAGCACAGGAGGGAATTACTAGGTTTTTCGTTGGCTTCATTCGAATCTACAAATGTACTAGGTATCCAATGGAAACAAAACGTTAATGCATATATCAGAGTAATGAGGCATAATAATGTTTTGCATGGAAGTAGTGTGGAAATTGTAAAAATTGAAACCAAGTCTTGGTGGGTTCTCTGATAAAAAAGAATATGATGTTAATTTGGGGTTGCATTCCTCTCTAGCTTTGTAACTTAGATGTGTTCTTTTGGTGAATATGGCCTTCAAGGTTTCTAGGATGTCTCTCTTACCTTGTTTGGAAACTTGATGTCGACTTTACGGGATCCAATTTTGGTTGATGGTGATCAGTAAAAAAATTTATCGGATGCTCCATGAAGTCATTCATTTTATTTGTGCTGATATTCCATATCTGCAGGAATGGGCTTGGTGCGAAATCTTTTGTAAGTTGATATTGTAAGGATTATATTATCTATTCAGATCAATGTTCTTTACCACCGCCAACCTTTTCAAGCTATTCTTCTTACATCTACGATAATAGTTTGCTTTTAGTTTTGATGTTTATGCATGGTAACAATGCTTGTTTCTCGAATATGTATCCGTTCTTTGAAGCATTATGAAGGGACACTTATGTAAGGCGAAGTCTTGGTGAGGAGGTTAGAAGCTGTTGTTGGAAATCATTGCATTATTTCAATATTGAATCGTGTACCATAGCATCTATGTATTACATGTTATCGATTGAAAAGAGGTGATGATGATAGCTTGGAGCCTCTTAATTTTTTATGCAAGTTGCACAACTGGAAAAGCATGAGCTAAGCATGTATAAGTGTCATCAAACATCATGGAATATGAAACCTTGGTTTTCAATGCCCTCATGGATTTAATTAGTAATGCTATTTGGTTGCTTGTGCTGGGAAGCTGTGCAGTATAAAAGTAAGTGCACAAGCAAGGCTGATGATGATTCATTGGTGATGCTCTGTTGCCCAACATTGTTTGATGTCAACCTCACATGTCTGGCTGTACACTTACCATTCTCCTCTTGTTTTCTGAGATTCTTCTTTTTGCTGTTCATCCAGCAAATATTTATATAGTTGCCTTCTTCAACATTACAAGTCGTTTTCTTATCAATCAATCATGGTTAGCTAAAGCTTAGCCCGACGCTCGCAGGATGGATTAAGAAGCATGATGAGGACATGTGGGGCTTTCTGTGGCCATTGGAATCATGCATTCCCTTTCTTCTTTTTCTTTGTTCCTTGGGGAAGCAGAGGTCTCATGTTCTTGTGGAGTGTGCCAGTTATGAAGTGTTTTCTGAACCAAATCATTCTCTACCGTATAAGAATTGCCTCTTAACTATGCTGATCATACTGTTGTTTCTTGTCCTCTGAGAAGTTGTATGCTTATAAATCTATTACATAATTTTATTGTTATTGGTGCAAGCCCGAAGGGTCAGAGGAATTGTTTGCTCTCAGTGAACTCATACGATTTTGCCCTCGGCTCTCATACTAGGGGTCACCACCTCCACCAAGGACGCGTTCGTGAGCTTGCCGGAGGGCTCGGAGACGGTTAGGGGGTAGCCGCAGTTCCCGTAGAAGCCCTCCGGCAGCACGTCTTTCAGGAGGTGAACCGTGCTGGCGGCGAAGGCGACGCGGACGTCGGCGTCGGGGTGGAGACCGATCGCCTGTGCGCGGCACTGCCACACCTTGGCGAGCACGACGTCAAACGTGGAGCATCTTTCGCCGGTCTCCTTCGCGTACTCGCTCTTCAGCTGGTTGATGTGATCCAAAGGTATGCCCACTGCGAGTTTCTGCAAGTCCATGGGAGTGAAGACCGGAGGCGGACCACCCATCAAGATGGGCTTCGCTGGGTTGGGGATGGCTTCCCTGCCCCAGGCCGGCATGACAGACGGCGCAGCGCGACCACTGGCCATGTCTGCCACGGTTTGCATGAACGCGTCGAATCCGGCGCCTCCGCCCATCGCGTGATCGGATCTGATGCCCGCCACGAATCCGCCGCACTTGAACAGTGTCACCTGACACCATTACAGTTGCATATATACGTCAATCCACGACAATAAGCACTCTTAGAGCTAGTGATCGATCTAAAACCGAGCTCAATCCATGCTGCGACCGAAGAAATTCGTGCACCTGGATCAACATGATCACGTCCTTGATGTCTTCAGGTGGGAAGTCCGGGAAGATTCCTTCGGGACCGCAAGAGGTAGCTGCAGATTGTTAACGTCCTTGAGGGAGAAATCTGCTGAGGCCTCGACGAACCATATGCCCTCTCCGGTGCAAGCAACCTCGAGCTCACCACCGGACATCGTGAACCAGCCGGCCATGGGGTAGTAGGGGACGAGGGCCTTGGAAAGAGCCCCCCTTATGAGCTCATGGTGGGAAGTCGATCCATGAAAGAGAGGGGAAGATTGCCAGTCGGCGTCGCCTCGCTCGGGACTATCAGTTCCGGAGCCAACTTCGCCACAGAGAAGCTCATGGTGGGTATGTTTTCTGCCTCCTCACCTTGCTTGATGCCTAGAAGCTCTCAAAACGAAAAGACTAATGAACAAGGAGATAAGCTGGGGGCCAATGGCATGTTAGCCGTGAGGTCTCCTCCACCACTCTCCATCTCAATCACTGTAGCACAGGAATCTGTAAGGTGGATATAATAGCTGGAGATGTATCATTCTCATGTCGTCCAATGCTAGTGGAAGTTTGTGCTGTGCACATCGATCATCGCCGGCGGCGACCACCACATACACAATCGAGCGTACAATCCGTATCTCCAGATTTAGATGTAAACCACGCCCCAGTTTATTGCTGTTGGCTCGAGTGATATGGATTTAGATTTTGATTCGATTAACTCATTTCGATAGATCCGATCCGACAGAATCGAAGACGGACGTCTTACCGATACCCGCACCCACGGGCTGGATTCTCAACGATCTCGCCGTCGAACAATGGGGCCCAAAGAGGAAAGGCCCATTTGATGATCACACACTGTCCCAACTCACAAGACTATAATGCTGGATATTCCCACTCCTCTTTCGATTCATTCCCCTCTAATCTCTTCTGTGTTCCCTGCCGAGGGGTGACTTGACGACACTCCCCGATCCAATTGGGGGTTGGAATATCATCGTCGTCGTCATCCTCGGTCGCTGCCGGTGCTCCTCGCGCGCCCCACCTCCCCCACCCCGCCCCGCCCCCCCGGGCCTCTTTTGCGGCCGCAAATCTACCACCAGTCTTACCTCGATTGCTAACCCTAACCCTAGACTGGAACCCCTTTACCGTCCCGCTTCTTCTCGCTCTCCGTAGTGCTGTCATTGTCTGCCTGAAGTCGCCGATCAGGTGATTGATTCTTTTTAGCCTAAAAGATCGAGAATTCGTTCCCCTGACGTCGTTATTGGAACCCCTTTACCGTCCCGCATCTTCTCGCTCTCCGTAGTGGTGCCATTGTCTGCCCGAAGTCGTCGATCAGGTGATTGATTCTTTTTAGCCTAAAAGATCGAGAATTAGTTCCCCTGACGTCGTTATTGGGCGCGTTTTCAGTGTGTCCTCTCGTGATCTATCGATTTACCTTCAGAATCTGGAATTTTGGTACCAGTTATGCGGAACTGGGCTGCTTGCTTGAAATGGTGTGTTATTTGGATTTTCTGATACTTATCGGTAGTTCCTTCTTCAGCAGCAAGTGTCGCCTCCCCATCTAATAGTCTCGATTTCTTGGTTCTCATTTTAAATTAGCCACAAAAAGAGGCTTTTTTTTTTACGTGTATACACATCTGTGTTTGCATATTACTCCGCAGGATCAGGCATAGTGGTAGAGCTTTTGTACTTATTGCTATTCTTATGTTAGGCATTTGCCAAGATGTAATTTTGGGGTTTGATGTTCTCCTAGAAGCAGCTTTTGAGTTGAAAATGTAGTGCTTTCATTGTTTCAGTTTGTTTTCACTATGTTTGTTTTTGGTTCAATGCACATATTGATTCTCTTCTTGTTTTCTCTTGTTCTAGTTTGGTTTCCTTGTGCGAGTGGTTGACATGTCGATGTGTTTTTCAAGCATAAAGAACTAAGAATGAAGAAAATGTCATCGAAGAACAATGGTTGCCTTACCCATAGGCGACGCTGCCCGTGTGGAGATGAGCAGTGTTGCATCAGACTTGATGAGGATGAAGAAGACATATCGATGGATCCTTCGGCTCTCTCGGAACCAAACCTTATGCAGGGAGCACAACATATTACTGCTGAGGCCACTGCAGTTGACGCTCCTTATGTCGGACAGTCTTTTCGGACCGATGCCGAGGCCCAGGAATACTATACCAACTTTGCCAGGAAGAATGGGTTTGCCATCCGGCGAGAGCGCTCAAAAGGGAATCCAGCACATCCACTGGGTGTTTATAAACGGGAACTTGTCTGCCATCGTGCTGGAGTATCTCTGCCTAGGAAAACTGTAGAACTCAAACGGCAGAGAAACAAGAAATCATCACGCTGCAGATGTGAGGCTCAGATGATTATCAAGAAGAATGTTCTAAAGGGTACGAGCTGTTGGATAGTTGTTCATTTCAGTAATGAGCATAACCATCAGTTGTTGGATAGTGAGGAAGTCCGCCATCTCCCTGCCTACAGGAATATACCTCCGGCTGTCCGTGAACGTATTTTGTTTCTGTCAAAGGCTGGTTGCACTGTGAATCTTATGATGAGGGCACTTGAGATGGAAAGGGGAGCGAAGCCAGGTCATTTAACTTTCACAGAGAGGGACTTGAGGAACTTTCTTCAGGCTAACAAGGGCATTGATCGAGAAACCGAAGGTTCAGAACTCCTTAAGGCCTGCAAGGCTATGAGGGACAAGAGCTCAGATTTTCGTTATGACTACACGTTGGATGCAAATGAGAAGCTTGAGCATATTGCTTGGTCATACCCAGACGGTGTTCATGCATACAAGGTTTTTGGGGATGTAGTTATTTTTGACACAACATATCGTTTGTATGCATATGACAGGCCTTTTGGAGTATGGTTTGGCGTGGACAACTACGGAAATCTAATATTTTTAGGTTGTGTTCTACTGCAAGATGAAAGGCCAGCTTCATTCAAATGGGCCTTGCAGGTGTGTTTACTGCTTCTTATTCTGTCATTTTCCTTTTGTTTCTACTTAAATAACATATTTTACTTGAAGAGAATAGTAGATAAAGGCATCTGTTATGGCTTTACTTTTTCTATGTCTACTGACACTTCATAATTCTCTGCCTTGTAGTCATTTGTTAGTCTTATGGATGGGAAGTTCCCACAAACAATAATGACTGATCTAGACATGGGACTTCGAGAGGCTATGATGAGTGAATTGCCAAACACTAAACATGCTTTTGGCATATGGTATGTTACACATAGATTATCAAGCTGGTTTTCTACCTTACTTGGTTCGCAATACAATTCATTTATGAATGCTTTCCATCAAGTCCATAGCCTGGAGAGTGAGAATGACTTTGTGCAACAATGGGGTCATATGGTTAATGAGTTTGGGCTAGCTTCAGATAGACATATAGCCATACTTTCACTATATCAATCCTATTGGGCATTACCATTCTTACATGGTTGGTTTCTTGGGGGATTGACGACTAGTTCTTCAGTGTCTATCAAGCCATTCTTCAGAGGGTTCCTGAATGCACAAACACGTCTAAAAGATTTTGTGGAGCAGGTATTGAATATAACTTTGTGATAATTATCCTTTTCATGTCTTCTTATTAGTTTTGCTATTTTGTGAACAATTTTATTGACCCCCTTTTGTAGGTGGGTGTCGCAATTGAATTACAAAATCAAGCTGGAGAGGAAGCAACAATGAGGCAGAATTATCACAATGTCAAGATTAAAACATGCATGCCTATTGAAGAACATTGTTTGAGTATATTGACGCCTTACGCGTTTGATATGTTTCAGAAAGAACTTATATCATCGACACAATTTGCAGTATATGAGTCACAGAGGGAGACTTACCTTGTCCGCCACCGGTTGAAGGCAGATGGAGGCTATATAGTGCAGTGCTTTCCATCGGAGCAAGAGTTATGTTGCAGTTGCAAGGGATTCGAATCCTGTGGAATATTATGCAGGCATACCCTCAGAGTGCTTTCTTTGAAAAATTGTTTCATGCTTCCAGATAGATACCTATTGATGCGGTGGCGTCGTGAAAGCTCATTGTTTCCAAAAAGCAGTGGTTACAATTATCGATCCCAAGCTTTACGCTCCCTTTCATCAATCATAATACAGGAATCTTCAATAACAAAAGACCGTTTCAACTATGTGCAGTGGCACATGAGTAAGCTTCTCACTCATGTGAGGAACATGCCGACAGTTGATGAAGTGGTCTCAGATATGGAGACTGTCACATCAGTTGATACTACAGTCTCAAATAGAAGATCTAGAGCAAGGCTCAGAAAAGTAAAATCAGTTGTTGAAATGCCAAACGAGACACAAGAATTATCCAAGGCTCAAACATTTTCAGAAACACTAGAATTGTCAGAATTGCCTTAGCACCTACATGATACATGGAAATTTTGTTTCCTTCGTCGACATGTTGACCTCTTTAATTTATATTCGATATCTTAAGAACCTTTTTTTGTGTTTTTCCTTCTGTTCAAAATGTAGTGATCTTGTAGCATTACCGTTATATGTGTGTGTATATATATCAGTCTTATAGTAATTATATTGCAATACTTATCATGAATTCATTTTTCACTTTTTTGAATGTTTCAGATTTATTTTATGGTCTTTGCCTTGAGTTGAATCCCAGTAGTAAGACCAGTGATCGACAAAGGGTTATGACATTCCTTACTCAGGTGCTCTGGTACAGGAGATTGGGCGATCCATATTTCAAAGTTTCGGTCGGAAGAAACATTGCAGCCTGAAAGTTTAGTGTGACAATATGCAGACTTGCCGTAGTCCAGCAATATAATTTCTGACTCTGCTTTGTGTGGCTCCATGATAGCATTTTTGGAGATACTTGCTGCACTTCGTGTAGTTCATCCTCAGTATAGTGTTTTCATGAGCCATTGGCTAGTTTTGCATGGTGGTCAGTGCGAAGTGAGCCATTTAGGTTCACAAGTCCTCTTCGCATCAGCCACTGAATCTTGGTTTCTTTTCTCCGTCTCACACTCCGTGCCCGTGGGATTGATGTGAGCCAGTGAGCTTATTGATATGATCTTTGTGCTTCACGGACTGTCTTCTCTGTCCACCATTTGAACCTCTTCCTCCTGATTTCTGATACCAAACCTGCAGTAAGGTAGGTTCCTTCAGAACAAGGACCCGTTTGTGGTACCGGTAGGCCACAACACACTTGTTGAAGCAGACCCTTCTTTCTCTCTTTTGGCAGAGTCACAGGTTCGCTCACGAACAGAGCGTGATCGGTATTTAATGCATCAAATTCTGGCTATATTACTCAGACAAACTTCTGAATGTGGTCCTCTGTTTTCCTCATTTTGCTGGGCAAGTATTCAGCAGAATTCCTAATGGTTTCAGGAACCCATGCATTTGGGCTTGTGCTCCGCCGTCCAACTCATCCAGTCTGAAACGAGCCGTGAGAAGACTCATCCCCATGGCCTTATCATTATTACCAGTGGATGAGACTAGGGTTTGGGGGTACTATTTGACCACCAAGTGTTTGAATAAATTCCTTGTATTATCTGTGCTCCATTTGGACCTCATGCAGCAGGCGTCGTAGCTGCTCCATTGAACAACGTACAACGCAGTATTCCTTCCGTTTGACTAAACTTAACTCGCAGCGCTGCGAAGTCACGCATCGTCCGTGTGATATCACTACTCTGCTTCGGTCAGCGCTGAGCGATCATCGCTGCTCATCCTTCACTACTTTACAGCAATCCAGCATGATGCCGAGTCATGGCTCCCATTTTTTCCTCAAAAGAGAAAATGTGATTGACAGAGAGGAACGGGGAAATTGGATCAGCACGAACTAACACTATCCTAATTTATTTGTTGTTACTCTTCTTCCTCCAACCATGATCCGACAAAGATCCAACAGAGGCCGACCAAGTAAAATCTGATGCATTGCCACCCAAATCTTTCCTCGTCGATCGATCTCGCAGTGACCATATGCGCTACTGGAAGGCTCTCGTCCGCCACATCGCATCGCTGTCACTACCGGGTATTTATTGTCGCCATTTATTTCACGTTACGGTTCCCGTCTCGTGAAGGCTACGGCTTGGCGTATCGTCAACCGCGGATCTCGTGCGCGTTCGTTTGGACGGCTCGGATGCTTCGGGATGCCCCCTGCGGTCCACTCGGAACCGCTCCTTTCGCTGCTATTTTTATAGGCTTCATCGTACTGCTGCCGCCGTTGTCTCCCCCCTTCCTCTTCCGCTTCAGCTTCCGCTTCCTCTTGGGTCTCCACATCCGATCCCGAAATGAGCGTGCGAGAGATCCTAGGCGGCTCCGATCTCTCGAGGTGCTGCTCGAATTCGTTTCCGCCTCTCGGAACGGAGCTTCGGATCGAGCTTGTCTCGCCAGATCCGTGAGCTTCGACCTGGGAAATCTGAACGCGGTCTTACTCCGGCGGCCTCAAGGACTTTGTGCTCGGACTCCTTCCCCTGATTGCTTTCTTCGCCGAAGATCTCGATTCCCGCTTTCACGGCAGGTGGGGTTTATGTTTCTGCTGGTCATTAGTGATATTTATGGTTTCTACTCTTCAATCGCGGATCTTGAATCGTATTCGTAGCCTTCTGTTGGCTCGATCCAAGATTAGCCCTTTCTCCCCTTTAATCTCCAGATCATGGGGTACAGGGGAAGTGGGTGGTTGTATTCCACATCAATCCAGAATCACAGTCTAATTGCTTTTGGTTATTTTCCTCTCTCTCAGGAACTGGTTATTAGGATGTCTCTGGTTCATTAAAGTTGCCGTGATCTTTACGCTTGGATTCGTATCTGAAATTGGAGCTGGATTGGGTTTAGGTTCGGCACATGCAGTTTTTGTCGCCTGTCTCTGGCAGCATGAGCTTGATCTGAGAGTTCCTAAATTTGGCACCATGTGGAAGCAATTCCTCAGTAAATTACCCCGCAAGTCTTCCAAATCTGATGCTTCCTCGGGTACGACCCGCAGCCATCCCATCAACAATGGCACGACTTCCATGAACGGGAATCCAATCCAGCGAACTAGCAGCGGCAATGTAGTCCCCTCCCGTTCAACCGCCGTGAAGCGGACTGCTTCTGCTATCTTCCCGTCGAGTGTTGTCACCAGCATTGAGCCTCTCCTCTTATTCAAAGATGTCCCCAACACGGAAAAGCAGAACCTTTTCATCAGTAAGTTGAACCTCTGCTGCGTTGTCTTCGATTTCTCCGATCCAAACAAGAACTCCACCGAGAAGGATATGAAACGGCAGGCACTACTAGATCTCATTGATTATGTTGATGCTGGGAGTTCTCGGTTCACTGAGCCCATGATTTCTGCTAGCTGTAAGATGTTTGCTATGAACTTGTTCAGGGCCTTTCCACCAAACAATCGATCAAGCGCTGGTGGTGGGGAGACTGAAGAGGAAGAGCCGATGTTCGAACCAGCTTGGTCTCATCTGCAACTTGTCTATGATTTATTTCTTAAGTTCATCGAATCCTCCTCGCTTGATGCTAAGATTGGGAAGAAGTACGTAGATCATTCCTTCATCGTGAGACTGCTTCACCTCTTTGATTCTGAGGATCCCAGAGAAAGGGATTGCTTGAAGACAATCTTGCATAGGATCTACGGAAAATTCATGGTGCATCGTCCTTTCATCCGGAAAGCAGTGAGCAATATATTTTATCAGTTCGTGTTTGAGACAGACCGGCACAATGGGATTGCTGAGTTGTTAGAAGTTTTTGGCAGTGTGATCAGTGGTTTTGCCCTGCCTTTGAAGGAGGAGCACAAAATATTTTTGTGGAAGGCACTAATACCTCTGCACAAACCAAAGACATTAGGCGTTTATCTCCAACAGCTGACTTACTGTGTGACACAGTTCATAGAAAAAGAGCCCAAGCTGGCGAGTTCAGTGATAAAAGGGTTGCTGAGATATTGGCCAGTAACAAGTAGCCAGAAGGAAGTAATGTTTTTGAGCGAGTTAGAGGAGGTCATGGAGGCTACTAACATGGTGGAGCTCCAGAAGTGTATGATTCCATTGTTCCGGAGGATTAGTTTCTGCATCAACAGCTCCCACTTCCAGGTGATGAGAACTGTTTCTCTAACTTATGCTCCAATTTTCTCATTATTTCTATGTTACTCCATCTCCATATGAGATTTGTACATCAGCTTTTTAGTAGCATGAGCTTAGACTACAAACTGAGAGGAATATCCTTCTACCCAGAAGAATTTTTTTAAGGATTTCCTCTCTTCCTGAAGCTTTTCTTGGTCAGGAATGACTGGTTATGGTTAGCATCAAGTTGTATAAACTGATTATAAAGTTTTGTTGAATCTCATGGTGGGGCATTCTTTCCTTCGATTGTTCTTCCAAATCGAGTTCTGAATTTGGCCCTATTCTTTTGCTTTTCCTCAGTGTCATTTAGATGCTTCACTAGTTCATCTAACTTCACCACTAGGATGTTTTCTAAGAGATGTCATCATCTCATTTTTCATCTTGAAGATTCTGTGCCTCTTTGTCTGTCCTTTCACTAGTCTTAGTGATGCTGACTTAGAAGCTTGACAAACATTGAAGAATAGTTTTAGCACTGGAAGAGAGACAATTACAGCACACTGCAGTATAAATTAACTCTCACTAAATATTTGGAAGGTTAACCTCTTTATGTCTAACTTCTACCACTAGTAGCAGGTATTTTCTCAAATATTTTTATATTTTGCAAACAATATGAAAAAGATAGATTAGTTAATATATTCAGTTATGTTGTATTTATGATGATTTTTGTTATCTATTTATCTGAAACTGATAAACAGGAACCTATAGTTACATAGCAAATGTAATATGCACACACATGCTTATGTACTAAGGAAAAGAAACTCTATGGGTTTATATATATGTAAAAGTTTAGTTGGTATTTTTAATTTTTATATATGTATCAGCTGGAGTTGGATCATGTTCTTTTTGGCAGATGTTAAGCAGTTGTCATCCATGGGCCTTAACACTTTCCATCAAAGATACTGATTTGATCATAGGAAAATGAATCTTATTCAGTCTATTATTTTAGATGATAGGTTTAACTTTAGAGAGTAGTGAAGATATTGGTAGAAATTTCATCAACTGGTGTAAGGATTTGCTGGGGAAGGAGTCGACTTTCTATCATGGCTCTTGGAACAAATCAGTATCTTTGATGGAAAGGGTTTGTGGTCCATGGATGACCACCTAACTTTGTTCAGAAGCAAATGCAGGCCCTGACGGTAAATTGTGTATAATAATTGTGAACATATGGTCAACATCAACATGTTTGGGTTATGTTGGTGTTCTTCGTACTAATTACCCATTTTTGTAAGCAGATAGTGATGTAATATCAAGTGTGGTCATATGTTATCTCCATTATGATGACTACTGATTACCAAACAATATGGCACTGCATTTGAGTCATGGGTAATCATTAAGCTGATGTTGCTAGATTTTTAGTTGGCAAATTTTGTTTTGCAATGAGCTATATGAGAGCATCTTTGGTATGATAACCCTAACTAACTGTCTTACTAATTTGTAAATGGGTTTCAGGTGGCGGAGCGGGCCCTCTTCTTGTGGAACAATGATCATGTGCTTAGCCTGGTGTCCCAACACCGGCAAGCAATCATGCCCGTGGTTTTGCCAGCTCTAGAGAGGAACACCCGGAGTCACTGGAATCAAGCTGTTCTGAATCTAACACAGAATGTGAAAAAGATGCTCTCTGAGATGGATGAGGAGCTGTTCTTGGCCTGCAAAACGAAGTTTGAAGAGGAGAAAACGAGGCAAACAATAATGGAGGAGAAGCGAAGGATGACCTGGGAGCGGCTGGAGTCCATCGCGGCCTTCCGGCCAGTAACTGGGAACACATCTGTCCTGGTAAGACCGGCAATCGCTCCACCAGTTGTCGCTGCTCTTAGTTGAAGTATTCAAGATGGTTGATAGAAGAAGAAGAATAGCAGCTTGAAGTGTATTCAGACTGCTCAAGTTCTGTTGCTATATCTTCTTCTTTTTCCCTTTTTATATTATTGTGTCCTCTAGTAACTATGTTAGAAGATTGTTGGTGTATTGAAGGCAATGCTTGTGGGTGTAATGACAACCATTTTATGTACTTATGCTATCAATTATGAGCATAAGCCGATTCCCTTATCATCGCTTGTTTTCCTGATTCGGCATCTGATCAAAGAAGTTGTATTGAGCTCTAATTGTTCGATATAACACCCCTCGGACCTTACTCTTGCATGTTCCTTATCTTCTATAGGTAATGAGTTATATATCGTGGCTGCATTGAAGGCATAAAATGTCATGGTTGAAGAGAAAGTAACGCATCCAAAAGTTCATCAGCATGAGAAAACTAGCAACGATGCAAAACGATACATATAGAAAGTCTTGAAGGTTGATCGATAAGTTCCTGTAGTCACATAAACCACCAAACCAAAGCAAATGACAACAAAACCAAGAATTCCAAAGCGCCACCAAGTGAAATGGATCCAAATGGGTCCTCAATCAAGCGCACCCTTCGTCACCCACATCCTTTCCACCTGAAGTCCATAATGCCACAAATCCATCATTGGAATTTCCTAATGTTTATTGACACATAGAGGTCATATTTATATGATTCTATTCACTGAACAAGAGAAAAGGTGTACCAGATCTAATGGCAGAATGATCACTCGGAGGTGGTATCTCTGCAATTTGGTGACTCATATCCCCTTGTACAGATATTGGCAAATTGCTCGTCCACGCTTCCTCTCGTGTTTTAGCTTCATTCACGATCGACTGATCACTAGATCTGGAGTGGTAAGTGGTCGACCATGATACGCCGTTTGATCCAGCTAAAGCCAGTATTACATCTGCCTGAAGTTGAAAATATAGAATCATGAATTGAGGCTATTATCGGGTGGATTTGATTAGTTGAAGAAATGTTGGTATAAATTGATTTCAAACAATTTGGAACGCATCTTACGGGGAGCAAGATAAATAAAATAGATCTGCTAGGAAGTCAAGTTTCTTTTGGATAGGAAAAAATAATCTGCATCAAAGCATGAACGGCTAGTGATATGCTAGTTAAGTGTTCATTTCTGTATAGAGTACTAAATCTTATAGCAATGTTGGTGAAGGCTACGCCATATACCATGGTACATATTCTGGTAATAGAACATCAAATTTTCATAGACACTCAATTACACCTAGATTGTTATGATAAACAACATCAAAGATCAATATCTTGAACATTAAGCTGACCTTATTTGGATGGACACTGTCAAAAACATGTGCTTGGCCAGAGTAGAATATGGTCATCTGACGTCCAGGAGACGCTGCCTTAGATCGCCTGTCAAAGACAAATAGAGGTTTTGTGGCATTGATACCATCATATTCAACACTAACGGATGAATCAAGGTTAAGGGAGAGCTTGTCGAAACATATAAGCCACATTGTAAAAGAGACACACCTTACAGCATTAGAAGTTTCTGATTCTGTAGCATGAGAAGCCTTAGGTCTAGGCAAGAATTCGGTTGATATTTTCTCACAAACCATGCTAACGGGGTTGCTGATACTTACAACTCCAGAAGCTTTGATGTTTGTTCGAGAACCGTCATCTATGGAAGATTGTGAAATAACTGTCGCAACCGCACTTGCATCTTTGTTCACATATGAAGAAGAAATTGTAGCTTTCGAAAAGCATGAAGCATGTAGTAACCGTCCAGGACTTCTGGACAATGATTGTTCTAACTTGGAACTAAGAGAATCAGGTCTGCTACTAAGGGGAGGATGCAACACAAGAGAAGTTGGCCTTGGTGGTCGATGCATAGACAACATAATTTCATCATCACGAGCTTTATCCGGGCGCTCACTAACTATTTCTTTTCCAAACATCTAATTTTTCAAGGTTAGTAACCATAAAAGGTCAGACAACCATTTATCAAAGTACAGGAAAGCATGCAGATTAACTGCTACCACAATAAGCGCAGAAGCAAAAGAAAAAGGATTAGTACCTTAATCAAGCATGGGCTTTCAGGGGAGCCTGAGCTCAGGGGAAATGCTCGATCTATCAAACCTGAATATACTGATTCAGGATGGCTCCTCTTTCTTCCTGGCAATGTATTACCTCCTTCGGGGTCTGAAATGGCATTCTTCCTACCATGAAAGTGAAAAACCTCAGAACTTCTCATCCCCCGTCTCTCTACCAAAGATTAGGAAATAAACTAGTTCCGGTCAGAGAGGTGTAAATTGCAGCGTGTGAAAATACAAGTATTGATCAGCATATATAAGCAGCAAAATTGGCATATCTTTCATCTCAATAAGTAGGTGCAGAAAAATAAATAATCCTAAATCCTAATCATCCATTCATGTTAAAATGTCTGTATGCGACAGACCAACTGCACTTGGGCTACTCCCTGTGCCATATTATTCCAAAAGAGAGATAAAACCAGTACATCTGTAACTACTAGCCACAAAGCTTGCTTTATGCGAGCTTCTGGAGCAGATCGTACGGCTAGAATGGTCATGCTCATGAGGCAACATGCAGCAACAAATACCAAACATCGATCTTTCACCCCATCAATTTTTGCTGAGGATGATATCATTAATCGTAAAATTCCTATTGTCTCACACAAAGCAAAGTGTTCTTATGTCTTCGCTAACATGCTCCCATGGAATGCTAAAGTTTGACCACCATTGATATTGAGTTGCCAAAACATTGAAGAGCCTTAAGCAGTTTCAAATGTAATAACAACAACATTGTATAAAGCACAAATAATCTTCAAGAAAGATATTTAAACAAAAACAGGTCATAATTGAAAGTTACTACAGAAATACCATAATACCACACTCTTCTAGTCGTACCTTAGATTCAAACTTTAAATTCCAAACAAAGCTATCAGAGACATAATTAGTGCTTGCAGGAAGAGACATTGTTGTTGTGGAGAACAGACGGATATATAAAGATCAAAAGGCTACATGTAGTTAGTGGAGGTGGTAACAAGTCCTGTTTGTTGCAAGTTGGTGGAGTAGTTCTGCCTGAGGAAGTAGTCAACAAATTTGTATGAAATTAAGCAGAAGACATAAAGGGCATCACATTCACTATACTTATATGCGGAAGGACACAGATTCAGCAAACAATCCATCAAACAACTGAAGTCAGCAAACAATCGATCAAAAACTAGTCTGTCTACCTGAAAAGACTACCACAATCAATTAATACAATACCACCAAAGCAAGAGTTTTAATTGATTGCCTGTGCAAAGATTGTCGCTAGAAATCTTTGATGCAACTGAGATTTAGTAAGCACTGAGAATTAAAGCTAAAATAGTTTCTTATTGGGAAGATTTAGTAAGACATAGGAAAGGGAAAATAGAAGTTTGCCAACACAAATGAGAGAGGACCTGAACCGAGAAGAGAGGTTGCGGAAACAATGCCATGCTGCCCAGCGGAAGAGACGCCAAGCGTTTGCCAGGAAGCGGAGGGCGAGGCCGCGTCGGGTTCGGCGTGCCCGGCCATGGAGCGGGAATCAGGCGCGGGCGTTTGCCCACCACAGCTCATGCCCATGCCCAAGAAGTCGAGAAAGAAGGGATTCTGGTGCTGCTGCTGCTGCTCATCCCCGCCCGCACCCGTCGTCATCACGACCGCCATTCCCTTTCTTTCTCCGCCTCCTCCTCATGCCTATGTCTCCGAATCCCGAAGCAGAGCTCGGAGTCCCAGGAAAAGAGGGGGAGAAAGAAAACGAGAAGAAGAAAAAGAAGATAAAGCTTGAACGGGGCATCAAAAGGAGGGAGGAGTGAGTCTTTTAGTCAGAGGAATTGAACGCGTTAAAGAGCAGCAAGATGTGGTAGCTTCTCTTCGTTCCGGTTCTCCACCCCACCCCACCCCACCTCCTCCTTTCCCTTTCTTCTCTCTTTTTCTTCCTCCTCTTTTTTCCTTTGCATATCTTTTTAGCTCTCTCCCTCTCTCTCTCTCTCTCTCTCTCTCTCTCTCTCTCTCTCTCTCTCTCTCTGTGTGCGCGTGTTCGTGGTCGTCGCAGAGCCAGAGAACAGCACAACCAACAGCGGCTGAACTAAAGCAAACGGAGCGGAGAGGAGAACAGGGTTACAATGTACAATCTCGCTGCTGCTCCACCACCTTTCACTCTCATACAGTACAGTCAACATTATCATCTCTTTTGCTCGGTAGGGATTGATGACAATAGCAGTCTATACAATATCATGAATGGGAAGCCTTACTATAAATCTAGCATCAGCCGATATTGATACTTTGGTGACATGACACGGATCAATAGTTCCGTCCCCGAAACAAGCAACCACGTAACGATTCTAATTTGATATACACATTTAGTTCCGTTTGAAGATACCAACGTCCTAATTTGACTGCTCGAGATTTCAAATCTGACGATAGATCCGACAGATCCAACGGACCAACGTCCACAACGAGAGAATCTCCCTGTTGGATGACCACCAAGAACACCACATCTTTTTTCAAGCAGTCTGATGCTTACCAATCTTTCCGCATTGTTTTCATCATAACTACAGACCATCAATCAATCTCTCTCCTGACACAAATACCATCAAACAGAGGAAGAGATGTAAAAGGAAGATGAGAGAGGAAGAAAACAAAGATCAATATTCTTACCAAAGAACATATTTTAAGGTGTATAACTGATGCATTAAACCCCACAATTGCATATCCCGGAGAAGCTCCCCTAAAATTTCCCATGCTATTGCAGATCCCGAAAGAATTCACTTTATTCCATAGAGGGCTATCATTCTCCCACAAGAAACTTGATTGCTAAACATGCAGAATATTCTCAATGATGGCTATATGACAAAAGTGACGAAGGGTGATCATTGAAGAGTCCAATCTAGTCGCCCAAATGATTCTTAATAGCTCTGTGATGTGCACAGATGAGCAGCAATCAGCGATGCTTTGAGGATTCTCAACATCACACCGGCAACTATTCTGGCTTGACTGCAAAGGCTCGCAGGAAGTGCCGTCTTCGTCTCTTTTGGAAGTTGAGCGTCTTTATCGAAAACGCAGAGAAGGAAAGCGAACAGCACAGGAAACGCGACCACCGCCACCCGAAGCCAAAGCAGCTCCTCTCCAAGTCATCGCCAGAAACAAGTCTCTCCTCCTGCGCATCACCGAATTGTGGATCCACCAATCCATTCAAGGTCCAGCCCACAAGGCATATCCAGTAGTACCATCTCCGCCACATTGGGGTCCTAACACAGACCAACTCGGATTCCACCTCTGTCATGGAATAATTGATCAGAGCAACTGTTCTAGCTTTATTCCGATAACATTTAAATTGCTTGACGAATAAGGAGTCTTATTCCTTACCTCATCTTAAGCCTTATCCCTATCCAATGAGTCTTCAGAATAAAGAACTTAGAACTTAGCAGCAAACAGTATTCGAATGCCCATCATGTGTTTGTGGCTTTGTGGTCACCAGAATAAGAGCATACAGATAAGTATCACATTCATCATCAAGTATAGAAACGACACACGACATCGAACTAAAGCAATATGGATGTGTAACGATATCACATCAAGAGAGACATCCATGATGTTATCGGTGGGTGGCGGTTGAGTCCGCCAAGTTGACTTCAAAGTAAAGATCAATGTATAATTTTATAGCACAACTTACTTAGTCGATTTGAGTTATAATAATTGTATGTTCGAAACGAAGATCACATTGAAATTTTAGTTGGCATTGGCAAATCACGCGATCAATTTCAACGGTTTTGTATTTGACTGCATCGATCTTTTGACCAATTTTGGTCAAATAAGTATTGATATGAGGAGATGACATGAAGATTGCAAAATTCATATCTTGGTGATGAGAAATCGACTAACATTTTATCGAGCATGCTTCTAACATAATTTTGTTCAATATCATAACATGTGATAACCATACAAGTGGATCCCAATTGGGTCTTGTTAAATTAGATTTTAGTTGTCCGATGTGAAAAGTTGTTCTTTCCTCGAGCTAATCTCAAGTTAAACTTCTCTAATTCAAATTGATTACTGTAAAATTACATCAGGACACTCTGAACAAAGCTCCTCTGGTGTTTAAGTTAATAATTTAGTTTGACAGGTCGAATGCATTTTGAGTTCAAGATTTATTTTTGGAGCATATTTGTAGAATTCTTCCTTGAATCGTTACATTTAGATGATATGATACGCACAGGAACGTGATGCGTTGATTTCGGACGTAACTACTGCTAATCTGCACCGAATCCAAGATGACAATACTTTAACATATGATGAAGATTAAACGACAAGATGTGAAAGAATACTGGGGTATAACGGGGCTACCATCGAGGTGTCAACCACATGTCTTCAAAGGATCAACCATCTAACACCGAGGTTAGATGACCATGCAATGCCTTAGTATCATCCACCTGATTTTAATGCGTTAACCATATAATCTCAATGTGTGTTGATCACTTGAGTTTGACACATCGCTCACGTGATGCCAATGTGTCAATCATGTTATTTTATCCATACAAATCTAATTTTAAAAATATAAAAAAAAATATGCCTGTAATATTATATAGAGCCAATAATATACCGGAATTCCTTCATCAATATAAGTGAACTAAAACATAATTATAAAAGGTCAATTTACTATCGTTTATAGTATTATTTTATCTGGTCTTCCTTCTTAAATATCATTGGCAAGCCAAAAAATCGTTGCACATTGCAGTGACAGAGACGTCGAACTAATCGAGAAGGTTGGATACGATGTGCAACCCCTGAAAAATCATCGTATGATCGTAATAACTATGAACAGTAGCCAAGAAAGCAAAAAGTAGAAGAACTGGTACGGGTAAATTGTAAGGTCAAACTGTAATAAAGAGATCATGTTGAGTTGACGTGAAGGGACAAATGGCCAACTAATGAAGAAGACAAAACAGAGGCTGTAGGAAGCGAAAAAAATCCAACCATAAACATACATACATTTGATTCCTTCTGTCTCTCTTCCCTCAAATCAAACCCTGCAAGCAAAAGAGAATCACATGAAAAAGGAAATCTTATTGAAGTTACTATGATGATTACTACTGGTAAGAAGGAAGCTTGTCGCCTCCTAAAGGTTGCCTTCCAACACAATCGATGTGCAATTACTACGATGATTCTGTGCTTCGTATATGATTGAGTAAAGAGAAGAGAATGATGAGTATCGTACTGTGTGAATTCTATGTTGATCTCGTTCGCTGACGACTGCGATATCATCCCATAAGCCGTCTCCGAGAGAACCATGGTTGCACCCACCGCAGACGGGGCGGAGACGAGCGAGGGTGCGTAGTCGACGACCATGACCTGCACCGTGCCGTCCGTGCACGCCCCCGGCGTGGCGGAGCTGAGGCACCTCACCAGGTACTGCCTCCCGCAGGAGGCGTCATTGTCCCATATCGCGTCGCCCGCCGCCGCGAACAGGTTGTTGGGCGGGAACTGGCTCTCGTCACTCCCGTAGCACGCCGTGGCTATCACGAAGGACAACTTCCGTAAGAATCTCAGGGAACTAAGGACCACTGGGAACGATGGTGTAAGAGATGAGTGGGTGAGCGTGCGTGCGTCTTACGGAGGTAGGGCGGGCCGTAGGAGGCGGCGGTGCCGACATCTGCGAGAGAGGGAGGGGAAAGGAAAAGGAAGGAGAGGAGGCACGGGATAAGGATAGACTTGTTCATCATGCCTGTGGTGGAAGCTTGTCCCGAGCAAGGAAGCGAGGTATAAATCATTGCTCGGTGGATCCCGGTGAACCCAAACGAGCAAGAACGACCAAGATTGTGGTCAAGGCAGCCCTGCAACTTGGACTAAACCAAAAGAAACGTTTACCAGATGGTCTCAGTGGGAAGGGAAGATGTTCGTAGAAGCTCGTCCAGATCATAGGGTCCAAATCAAACATCATCCACTGGATTATCGGATAGGTGGGTTTAGTGTTAGTAGTAGCGACACGAGAGCAGAGCAGCATAAACTTGTCCCAGCGCTATATGTCATCTCCGGAACAGCTCGCCTCTCCGTCGAGCTTGGCATGATTGCCGCGAGAGCATCGATGCTCTACTGGCTGGGATCATTTCCCAAGGCGTGCCGTTTTCGGTGACAACGACGTGGGTTGGGACGACCAATCATGACATGGGTTACTGTTGCTCTGTTGACATCTTCTGAAGCTTACCTCGATTAGAGGTCAGTGATGTCGATCCAACATGATCGATCGAGGACATTAAACTGAGCATAATAAAGCACGCGGTAACCGGTTCGACTCGAAATCGATCCGGGACCGGGTTAATGGACCGACGATTTCGAATTGAATCAAGATCGAACCATAGAATATGGTTTCGGTTCTTAAAAATCGGAACTAATGCCCAAACTCATGAGTCTGAACCGGCAAATAAAATAGATTTGATGGTGTAACGGTTAGTATTTTAAATTTAAAATATAATAATTTAGTTTTGAATCTTGAGAAAGTAATTTAATTTTTTTATCAATCAAATCAAAATTAGACCAACGGTTCGGTTTTAAATTTGATAAAACCGAAACCGATTCGACACTCCTATCTTTATGAATTTGAGAGCTCGATGAATTCGACACCCCTATTTTTATGATAAAAAAAAAATAATTATTATTATATGATACTCGAGATCGTTTTCAAATGAATTGACCAACCCAACTTGATTCATACCCGATCTACGTTAAGAATTCTGATCTCGTGATGCATCTTTCTTGCACCAATATTAACGTCGAAAGAAGGTTTCGACATGATTCATCGAACGTCTAAGTTAAACTTTTGAAATAAGTTTAGAATAGAGAGAGAAATTTCTCGTGTTTACTTTTTAATAATCAATCGTCTCAAAAGTCATATGTGATAAAAAAATATTCGAAGAATTATTTTTTTCAAATTTTATTGTCGTGACATGTCATGTCATGGAGTGAGATTTTTTTCGTTTTCTCACCACGTGGCTGCCACGTATGAAACAATTAGGATAAGATGAATGTTGAACGACGTGTCGTGTGAAAGCGGTCCACATAGAAAGTGATGTTGTCAGCCTTGGCGGCTCCCGTTGTCGGTGATCGGTGAGTCCTTGTGGCTAATAAAGCTAGTGTTCTTTTCTCGTTGGCAACAAGCTGGTTCACCGTCACGTACATTATGGAAGAAGAAAAGCTTCCTCTGAGAGAGTCAAATGGCCAGAAATCAAAACCGCGCATGTCATGTCCATGCTATTTATTACACGTCGATCGAAACGGGAAGACATCGAAGCCATTGAGACTTACACGAAGAGAACAATTGTGTCATGTTAGAGAAAGAACGTAAAGATACTATAGAGTGTGAATTAGTTCATCAACGTGTGTAGTTAGTTTGGGCATTAACTCCTTGTTTTGTATGAATCAAATTTGGTAAAGATGTTGACAGTTTATCGCAAGGTTTTAGACTCAAATTTCGTCTTTATCATTTATCTTTTATAAATAAATAAATATATATATTATTTATGTAATTCCTAAGTTTTAAGTGAATAGAAATCAGTTTAGATTTCATGATCTAGAATGACCATTCACATTTTTTACCATTGGATTATAATAGTCCTCACGTAATTTATTAACATCAAATAATGCATGCTTCGAGCTTAGCACATATCGGATGTTGGGAAGATAAGAAATTTCTTAATAAAGTATATCCTATACTTAAGTTAGTGGAGGATTCGGGAAGCATGAGAGAATAATTTCGATGTACTTGAGGGGTAATTTATATTACATCCAATGGTTGTTGGCTCGGAGTTAGAATAACTCCGAAGATGATCATACAGAATAGTTAGCCATCATTGTCGGTCATCAAGTATCATTGACTCATCGAACATTTTAGTTATGAAGTAACAATTCATATTGACATTGATGGCCATTAATTATTGGCTAAATGGACCATCCTTATCCTTATGGGATGATGTTTCGATTATCATGACTAGATAACAACGCATACAAAGAGATATGACATATCATCGAATTGCCTTTATATCAGATATTATATCAATATGATATCATTATTCTCTTCCTGTCTCGTCTAACTAAAAAAGTTTCAATTGATCGAGTAAGATTCGATTAAATGAAGTATGATAATAAAGAAAATTAAGGACGTCTTGTTTGAGCACAACTTGATCGGTCAATGACCTAAGATTTATCATCGTGCACATGATACACCTAATGAATTGATGGAGTTGAATTGGATCAGTAGAATCTGTGTCGGAGGACTACCAATTTGCCAATTGAAAGGAGGTTAATGGACTATCAGTTTTTTAAATAAGCATGTTATTAACAGTCTCTATTTTGTTATTGGTAAATCCTTTTAATTATCGGTAAATTTGATGTTGTTGACATCGCTCGTCATTCACAATTAGGAGTAGAAGAAATAGAATACTAACCCCATTCGACATCATCGATGTCGCTCATCAGGTGCTTGTGATTAGGAGAAGACGAAAAAGTTAAAAAAAAAAGGGAAAGATGATCAGAACATTTATATCCATTTATAAAGGGGTATCTTATGACTCTTAAAAGTTCTTAAAATAGGATTATAAATATATTACTATTTAAAATCTCTTATTTACTATATATAATCTTATTTTTAATTGTTTAAATATTTATAAATTATTCCTTTGTAAATAGACATAAATATAATTTCTTCCTCCTTCTCCTCTTTTCTTTTTTAATCATCTTCTTTTCTTCTTTTTTTCCTCCTCTTTTTTGAAGGACGACATCAAGGGCAGCGAGTGGGAATAGATAACATCGAACAATGTCACGAGAATAAAATAAGGAATTGTGTGAATGAAACAAAAAAAAGAAAAGGCTAAAGTCGATAATACTAGGGTTTTAAATTGTAAAATAATATTTTATTATTTTTTAAAAGATTATCAATAGTAAAGAAAGGGTTATGAATAATAAACTTCAGGTTCTACATAGCAAAAAAATTACCAATCAAAATCTTTTTTTTTAATTAAGAATATATATGATTGATTTAGGCATTTAACAGTTGATAGCAAATTTCTAGGGGAAATTCACACCGATGCCTATCTTTATTAAACAGAGATTAATTCACACCAATACCCATCTTTGAGACTAATCAATGATTTTAGATGATAAGTCATTATATGTCTTCATTCATCTAAATTGATCTAAGGACGAGAGCTCAAGCCATCCCTTATGCTTTTGTCCTCTTGATAAGTCTGAGATGATTCTTAATTCTTTTACTCCTCAATTAATATACGATTTAATATTATTATCAGTAGAATTATTATTTTAATAGCTATGATGGTGAGTATAGGTCCTTTTGGAACCTTTATCATTGTTTAGCACAAATGACAATGATCATACGTGTTCGAGCCTCGATCAATTAAGTCGAGCTTAATTGGTCCACTTTGATCGTTATTGAGCCAAACAATGATCATTGGACTTGTACAACTCCAAATGTAACAATAGCGGTCATTTCATTCTCATTCACAAAAAGCAATTGGGCCAATTATGTGAAAGTTGAGTTGCGGTTTCGTGCTGCCTTTACTCGTTAATTTGATTTGGTCGGTCGGCGTATTGACTAGCTGGTATTTCGCATGTGAAATGTTTTGGGATAGAGAGACCGAGTTAGACATGCGGGCTATCTTTGTTAAGGCCCTGTTAGATTTGTTGCCATCTTTTTGGGGGTATAATTTGTGCTATGTCTTAATTCGTTTAATAGCTCATATCAATTTATTATATTAGAAAGAGAGAGAAATTTTTTATTTATTTATAACAAAGGATAAAGTTATGAAAATAAGATTCGAGTCTAAGAAATATTTATCACACGATCACCAACAACCGTCAATCCAATTTTAAATCTCTAAGTATATTAAACATTATCATCTTGATTACGATATTACGATAAACTGTCAATATCTTTACTAACTAAGATAACTGACACTTTCGGTGATAAACTCGATGATTGTCTCTCCAAATAACACTTTTTAGTAATCGTACAAAACAAGGGAATGATGCAGGCAATCGATTGAACTTGCAGCATATAACTCATCCAACGTGGTCTGTCCTATTCGGGGTTGCACCCATGGCAACTCAATCGATCAATTTAGTCCACTCATCAGTGTACGTCGGGACAGATCCTCGTCATGGTCTCTCGCTCATCGGTAGTCCACACTGCACGTGAAATCATGGCTGTGCACTAAAGAAAGTTAGGCGTTCAGTAGCAAAGGAGCTTTCTTTGGTTTGTTTCGTAGTAATAATCTTTCTAAAGAACAACAAGTAATTTCATGTATATATGTATTCGGGTTTTGGTTTTGGGACAATCCGTGGTTTCAGGATAGTGATAATGAATAACACACAGTGCTGGTCCAATGGAAATTTAGTGTAGCTCATATAAGGATATGTAGTGGACCTTTGAATACACGAAACTCTTTCAAATCTTGAATAGGGACGTATCTCAATACAGATAGATCATGCACCGATGAGATGTCTTTTCTTTTCGTGATAACTCTCTTTTCGATCATCTTCTTAGCGTCGAGAGGTGTTACGATATATTCTAAGTGTTCAGCATGTGAATTGAGTTTGGAGATAATCAAGATTCATTTCTAAATCTATTTTAGGCTAAAGTATTGGAAAGTGGATTCAAATCGACTCTATAAAAAAAAATACATTAGAGGCACATATGATAATGCTCCTTCGATTAAGTTAGTAAGGGTTTGATAGATTCGATCAAATATCGATGTTAGAGGATGTTTAACTAGACAACACCTGACATTAATCACTCATCAATGGATCGTGAGATCATGTGCATTGAACTCGATGATTATAACGTAATAGTTTGTTAAGTCAATTTTCTTATCAACATTGTACGACTGACCTTGTAGGGTCGAGTCGACATTCTCATTTATATTATGTCGTCAATCGTATAAGATCGAATCTAGTCTAACATTTAATATAAGTAATATGTTAATCAAGTGAAACTAAAGTATCGATCAAAAGGGTATGATGTGTCAATAATGACCTACGCCTCTCGTTATCAAGAGATTATAGTCCTCTCGTGCCTCGACATAGGTTTCAACTTTTGTCAAAAAAAAAAAAAACTTATCCCCTTTTAAGTGGATGAAGTTATAAAAGGTGATGAAACCCATCTAAAGATTTATGTTGGAGTTTGATATTTCATAATCAAGAAAATGTACTGAATGATACACCCTGTAAGAACAGCAAACCTACATTAGATACTAAAATTTATAAGCCCGGAAGGTTGTAAGGATTGGACTCGATGCACTCTTCCTAGCACCGGAAGACTGACATTTCAGAGACTGTAAACCAATGTTTTGCATCCACAATAAACTCAACTACTTAGGAAAATTTAAGATCCATGGTGATTCATACTCGAACTTTGTTGTTTTAATAGCAATCAATGAGTTAAAAATTTAAGATCACCTTCAATCATTTTCACCTTTTGTCTATCCTATTATCATCGTTATCATCCTCTTCACTTTTAGTCTATTATTGTTTCTCTTTGCCTTTGTCTGTCAGTATGCATGTCTTTCATCTTTATTGTCACTTTCTTTTTTCTACCATGTTATTCTCTCCCTCTAATATGATTTCAATGTATGGCGATGAAGAAGAGCTATTTAAGATTTTATTTAAAAATTAATAAAATAAAAAATATATATATTAGGATAATATTTAGAGAGACATAGGAGTGTATAATAATTATCTTAAGACATAAGATTTTTACTCAAGACTTAATCAATATTATCCATCCCGGTGTGAGGACGATCATAAAATGATTCGACTAATTTTTTTAGTAATTAAAGATATAATTGAAGATAAAAAATAAAAAATAAAAATTGTTTGATTATTTTTGAATTCAATAATTAAAATTATTTGATATTTTATTCATAGAACCTTGAAATACCCTAAACGTCATCATATGTTGATCAAATGACATTTGCTTTGGTATATAATCATCAAAAAATAAATTTAAAATAATTAAACATAGAAATCAAAACCAATAAACACTATCAAAACGGTGGCAAAAGACAACATGAGCACAATCGAAGATAAATTAAATAATTACATCGGTTCACGGAGGATGATCGACGTAATTATTTAATTTATCTTCGATTGTGCTCATGTTGACATTTAATTGATCGACGTAATTGATCGACGTAATTATTTAATTTAAGGACACCCACCGTAACACGAGAAGGTTGACATTTCAGTAACAGTCAACTGATGTTTTAAATCTACAATATACTCAACCATTTGGGAATCCTTCAACATCTGTGGTGATTCATACTCCCACCTTCTTGTCGTGATTACAATCGACGAGTCGAACGCGGCGTTTCGGTTGATCAGACGGCTATAGCTCATTTTAATCTATAAATGTCGTGATTCTTGTAGTGACATAGGCACGGTGATGTCTGCGCGAGACCGTACCTCCAGTATGTGGTGTAGAACATGTTTACGTGGCATAGCATTAGACCAAAAATAATTGCATGGAACACCATAACTGTTATACGGTGGACCAGTTCGATCGGACCGTGTGACATGAAATGTTTGCAATCGCCGACGACCTGTGTCACTTATCTTTGCTCGCGAATCGGACTCTTCTCGTTTATGACGATGAAGGAGACCTCCGCCACTTGCAGGTGGATCGTTCTTAATTCACTGGAAGAGACAACCATTCAGTCGGCAGATCAAGTCCAGAATGGGGGATGAACGGAGGTGATGTGATGGTCGCGGTACATGAATCTGATCCACCCACAACTCGACCCAGAGACTCGCTGCGTCGAGAATGTGGGCCATGGTTAAGTTAGGCGCGGCTTCTGCGGCTGTCAACCGACACGACCGCGCTCTTACTCCTCCGCGGAGCAAGGCAGGACATGTGCCGCAGACCCCACATGAGCTTCCGGGAAACCAACAAGAGCCGACTCCGATGGCTAAGATTGGATTAGGGGAGCGAATCATCTCGATCCGGCGGCTTGGACCCATCACATCGTGGGCTGTTCCCTGACCAACCGGGCCTTTACATGTGATTCGCTCTATGGGCTTTCTGGGTCCCATGTCTGTCGATCTCGCATCCCTCGATCAAAGGAGAAACGGTGGGTTGATCTGCCACAGGGAGATCCAGTCGGGAGGAGACAGTGAGGTCTCGACTGTCTCTCGTCTAAGACGACAGCAAAGCTGTGAAGTTTAGTATGACCGAAGTCGCCATCGCAACACCCTCGCATGCACATGGCGTAGCATCTCTGTGGCCCTCGAGGACACATCTGATAAGACGGCATCGATCTCTTGGGGGAGGCACCGGCGCGGAGATTCACCCGTTTACTGCCTGCGTGACGCTTGTTATCCTGGATAGGGACACGCCCCCCTCCTTCGCAGAACCACCTCCGAGCGTACTTTAATGCACCCACGCCTTCTGCTGTCTTTTACCAACCTCAAGCTTTGTGGAATTATTCCCCTCCTTTGTTCCATTAGTGTTTTTACCCGTCGATTGGGGAAGACGAGTGGGATCGTATTATAATGAGTTTAGCGAAATTAATGTCTCTTTCGCTTACGTAGACACCAATCCGGCGTAGCGGGTGGTGGTCAGCTCGATTCCCGCCGGTGGAGTCGTGAGAGCGAGACAATAGCAAGTTGACGGATGGGATCTGAACTGACGAAACTACCCTTGCATGTTCTCGCCTGACCGGCGTGGCGCGCGAGGTAGGGGGGCAGCCACACGTGATCGGGAGGCGGTGCACGCCTCCCCCAGTTGGTGGTGGCGAATGCAAGAAGGGAGGCGTCATCCCGCGCGAGACAGCGTTCGAAAGGGCGTCCCATCCGCACGTGGCAAAGGCCAGTTTGAGGCAGCGGAGAGCAGTGCGCGGTTGGCATTCTCGATATTGCGCTAGCATCGGGGGGCTTTTTGCTGCCATACACACCATAAAAAGGGCCAAAGCGTCTTCGGCACAACCATTCCCTCCGTGGCCTCTTCCACCACCTCCTCTCTCTCCTAGCGCGCTGCAACCCTCGAAGAATGAAGAAGATGATGCATTGCGCTGCGGCGATCCTACTGCTCTGCTCCGCCGTTCCTATTGCCTTGGCCATAACCGATGGTTAGCCTGCGTCTCCCTGTTCTTATTTCTACTCCTCGAATCTACTTACTGCTGCTCGGTGTTTACTGCATTTTCTTTGTTTGATTTACTTGTCACCAGCCATTCACTCTGCTACAAAAATCTTTCGTGTTCCAGTAATTTATTTGTTTTCTGCTTCTTCACTTCCCTTCCTAGTTTGAGCGCGTGCTCTGACTTCCAAGAAGGTGCTACGGCCAATAAACAAAAGTCATTCCCTCCCTCGTACTTGACAATTTCGCTTCGATTGGAAGCTACTAAATAGGCATATCTAAATTATTACTGGAAAGAAAGCAACGGCACAGCATAGAATGCATGTTTGCATCCCTTCTCTCCATGCCTCATGAACCAAATCTACCATGGACTTACTCGTACCTGCGAGTTAATCATATTGCCGTCATCCCGACATATATTTGGAGCCGAGAACGACGGGAAAGACGGTCTGACGACTCGAGTTGGTGGCTCCGTAAGTAGCTGGAGCAATAGATGCCCTCGCTCAAACTGTGTTGCATGTAAGGCAAAACTTGGGTACGGGTCGGCCGACGAACTTTTTGCTGACACTCGATGAGTCGATGCCTGTCAGCACTTGTACTTTTGACGAACAGGTGAAAGAAGGTTCACATGGGTGTCGTCCTCCGACAACAAAATAATATGGCCGATCCATTCGTCTTTCTGAAACCACGGTGTCCCTTTGCCTGCCTTTGTCGGGGCAGTTTCATCTTCAAATCCAAATCCAGATCTAATCTTTTACTTGTTAGCTAATTGATTGCACGCGTGATGCAATTACAGGTCTGTTGCCAAATGGGAACTTCGAGGCGAAGCCGAAGGCGTCGGACCTGAATGGGACGCAGGTGATGAGCCGCTACGCCATCCCGCAGTGGGAGATCTCCGGCTTCGTGGAGTACATCGAGTCGGGGCACAAGCAGGGGGACATGCTGCTGGTGGTGCCGGAGGGCGCGTACGCCGTCCGGCTAGGTAACGAGGCGTCCATCAAGCAGAAGCTCAAGGTGGTTAAGGGCATGTACTACTCCATCACCTTCAGCGCCGCCCGCACCTGCGCCCAGGACGAGCGCCTCAACGTGTCGGTCACCCCCGACTCCGGCCTGCTCCCCATCCAGACCACGTATGGCAGCGACGGCTGGGACTCCTACGCCTGGGCCTTCCGCGCCACCTTGGAGGAGGTCCACCTCGTCATCCACAATCCCGGCGTCGAGGAGGACCCCGCCTGCGGCCCTCTCATCGACTCCGTCGCCATCAAAACCCTCTATCCGCCAAAGCTCACCGGCGGTAAGTGATGGACACACACACAGGCACAAGCACCCACACTCTTTTAGCTCGTCGGCCGAGCTGATCGATCGCGTCTGTGCATGCATGCATTGATTTGCTTTGCTCCCTTCCTCTTGGCATTGGTGCAGACAACTTGTTGAAGAACCGTGACTTCGAGGAAGGGCCATATGTGCTGCCCAACACCACCTGGGGCGTGCTGATCCCGCCCAACATCGAGGACGACCACTCCCCGCTGCCCGGATGGACGGTGGAGTCCCTCAAGGCCGTCAAGTACATCGACTCCGACCACTTCTCGGTGCCCCGGGGCAAGCGCGCCGTGGAGCTGGTGGCCGGGAAGGAGAGCGCCCTCGCCCAGGTGGCGCGCACCGTCCCGGGGAAGGTATACGCGTTGGCCTTCTCCATCGGCGACGCGGGCAACGGCTGCGTGGGGTCCATGGTGGTGGAGGCGTTCGCGGGCCGCGGCACCGCGAAGATCCCCTACGAGTCCAAGGGCACCGGCGGGTACAAGCGCGGGGTGCTCCGGTTCACGGCCGTGGCGGAGCGCACCCGCGTCGTGTTCTTCAGCACCTTCTACCACACGAAGGTCGACGGCTCGCTCTGCGGTCCTTCGCTGGACGACGTGTCCCTGTTGAGCGTCCGGAGCCCCGTGCGCCGGGACTGAACCACCGAGAAGGGCTTTTAAGTTATTAATGCCTCGAACCCTTCGACTTCCATCCCTACCCGCTCATCATTAATACCGGGATTATATTCTGATGCATCATCATGTAATCAATCAACCCTATATGTGCTGCGAGTGATCCAGTAATTATATGATCTGTGATGTACTCCAATTTTAACACATGAGTATTTGCTCTCGGTCCACGAATCTGACCCAACCCAACCCAATTGGGAAATAGCTCAATCGAACCCGGTTCACATCCCTTTACACTTCAATCCAGCTTGAACGGTCCGGATGCTGGCGTCATATAATGGATGCTCTCGAGACCGTTTGAAGCATCTTGCTTCCTAAAACAACTACGCCCTCTTTCCCGTGCGCTATCCTCCTCCCCTCTCGCCCGTCGCTCTGCTCTGCACTTTGGATGCTCGAATCCTCTCTCCTCCTTCCCCATCGACTCCACGGGAAGCGATCTGATGGTAGAGCCTTGAAGAACACAACTCTCGTTTACATTTCTCTACTGCTGATGGAGATTTTGGTTTGTCGGTTCGGGGTTTCGCTGTAATTGCCTTGACTATATATACTATTCCTTCGTATTCATTCCTTTTGTTCTGTCTTATATCCATGCGCACATTTCTCTTGCATGAACAGTCGGAGGTTGTGCAACGGGTCGAGAAAGATCTACCGAACATCATGTCTTGTGGCACGGTAGTAAATTTCCTCGTACTCCTCTAGACACAGTATTGGTTTTCTTGCTATTATGAGTAACATCCACCAATCCACCCTAATTAATGCATTACGAGAACTGATTCTTACTGCTTAATGTCCTTCGGCGACTGTTAAGTAGGTTCAAGCCTGAGGCAGGTGGTCAGCGCAAAAAAGAGGCTCTGGTGCCTACTGCAAAGCCAGATGAAAAGACTGGTGGAGGCGAAGCTGAACGAAGTGATTCTGATGATTCATTGGAACCTGAAAGGTAGCATAGATTTCTGATGCCCGTACTGTTATGTATTCTTGCCCAAAACAAGGTACCTATACACAGTAATGTATTCTGCCTCATTAACCATGCTACTTTCTTTTTGCATGTCCTCCTGTCCTATCATCTTTTCAGGGAAAAATAAGCAAATCCATGGACTCTGATCATGCCTGGGCCAAGAACCGACACCTCTTGCGTCAGCCTCAATAATGTTTAAGAAAAATTAAGATCCCGCTATGATGCCACAGAAATCTCCACCTGTTGATCATAGCTGAAACCAAAGAACAATTATTGAACACAAGAATTTGAAACATCCACCAATCAATACATGATCATAGTCTTACAAAAAGAACACTAATCATGTTCAGCGTGTGAGCCATTTTTGTTCAGGAAGACCATATATGCATGCAATTTCAATGAATGATTGTTAGCGGCCTATAACTCAGAATACATCAACCAGATGAACAAGGACTATCAGGAGCTGTTGTGCAAAATATCGTTTATGTAGTGTCATAAACTTGCTTCAGATCCATACATGACTTTGTTTCCTAGAGCATCTTATTTTCACCTGTTTCAGATTTCAGACATAGTTTTACTCAAGTAAATCTCTTTATTCTGTCTTAGTGGTACTCCAAAAATGATTGTGTAGTAGGATAAAGACAACCACAAAGAAGGCATACCATAAGATGAATCATGCATAACCCTTCCCAAGACAGTTCAAGCATCTCTGGATTCTGGTAAAAGAGAGTTCAAGGAGATCGTCAGTGAAAATAAATGAGATAAGCGACCATTTATTTGCTTAGAGTTTTCTTGAGTAAAAGCCATTCCCTACAACCCTTTCAGGTTAAATAGTAGATAAGACCGACTTACCGAATTACTACCTAGCAAATCTATTAAATTGGAAGTGAAATTCCATTGATGTCAGTCAGCAAAAAATAAAATAAAATTTGAGAGTGCAAGTTCATAAAAGACTGACCTGTTTCCTTCACAGGTAGGGCAGAGACAAGGGTTGATAACTATAGGATCATACAAAGGAGACCACTCGATGGTGGATTTCCCATTGCATAACTTGCATCCATAGAAGCCTTTCCCTTTACATGCTGAACAAGGCAGGGCCACCTTCTTCTACAGTTATTTTGTAGGAAAGAAACATTCTAACTTATCAAAAATAGATTCAAGGGTTGAAGCACAAGGAATTAAGCAAGCAAGAAAAACTAATAAAGGCATCTCAAAATATTCACCCGCTTAGCTTCTGCTAAGGATTGCAGGGATCGCATAGCCACAGAAGAAGCGAGGGACAGAGTGAACAAGCCCCCGAAGACGAATGCTGTAGCAGTCCCAAGAACTCGCCATGGTGGAGGGATCCTTCCTCCAGGCATTCTTTCTCCTCTGCAATGTAATATGATAAGGCAAAAAGTCATGAGATACACACACACACACACACACACACACACACACACACACACACACACATATATATATATATATATATATAACCATAACTTGAATCAGTAGTTCACTCAGTTAAGGTAAATAGCAAATTCTTTCACTCCACAAAAAAAGATGATGAGTCGAGGAAACTGCCTCCACCTCCCTCCCTGCTTCCATTGTGATTAGTTACTAATGAAGACAGACATTGGCATGAGGGAAGAAGCTATTGCTTTAAGGGTAGAAAATAAGAGATGTTTACTCACCAAAAAAGGGAAAAAGGAAAAGGCAAAGAACAGAAAAAGGAACAAGTTTGTACACCAAAAGAAAGTGAAAGTAAATGACCAAGCATTTCTTTTCTCAAGGGACTCCAACATCAATATCGTGCCAAAAGGAAAAATAATTGTGCAAATAACAATACTAGATAATGTACCTTATCACAACCCAGTGAAATGAAATCTAAGGAGTAATCTTGTTCGAGATGAAGATGGACCAGGTGGTAATTCTATTCTATTTTGGTCTATCATGGATGGTATCCCGAGCAGCCATCAAAGAGTTAAAAAGTTGCTATGTCTACTGCAGGCTAATTATAGATTATTCCTTGTAGTTAGACCTCCTTAACATTATGATCCTTAGATTTAAAAAATTTATATTAAAATCCCTATAATTATGAAAATGAAACATCTAGGTCCATGTACTTTAACGCCATCGATTTTACTGATAGAAACACGAAAACAATAGGCAAAAAAATAATTTCAATGTTCTAGTTTGTGGTGATAGATGACGTCGGTGGAGGCAGATGGCGACGTCGCTAGGGCCACGGGTGGCTGCTGTGGATGAGGAGAGCGACGACGAGAGATGAGGGCTGCTCTGCATCTATGTCGGCGCCACTTTGCGTTTGTGCCGGTGCCGATGCAAATGTCGAGCAACCCTTTCGTCACTCGACAACTATGTCAACGCCGATGCCGATGCAAATGCAGAACGGTGAAAGGGCTGCTCACTACGTCGACGTCGATGCAGTTGCCGAGCAAAGTCGCTCTGTATCTATGTCGGCGTCGATACAGATGTTGAGCGACTATTTCATCACTTAGCAACTGCGTCGACGTTAATGTAGAGAGCGGCCCTTTCGCTGCTCTACATCTTCGTTGGCGTCAACGTAGTTGCCGAGCGACAAAAGGGCCACTCGGTATCTACATCGTCGACCCTTTCGCCACTGGGCAATTGCGTCGACGCCAATACAGATGCAAAGCGACAAAAGGGTCGCTCGACAACTGTGTCGACATCGATGTAGATGCAAAGCGACAAAAGGATCACTCGACAACTACGTCAACGTGAACGCAGATGCAAAACGACCCTCATCTCTTGCCATCGCTCTCCTCATCCACAGCAGCACCCGAGGCCCCCAACGGTGTCGTCGTCCGTCACCACCAACTGGAATATTAAAATTACTTTTTTATCTATTATTTTTATATTTTCGTCGATAAAACCGATGATGCTAAGATAAAAAAATTTAGATGTTTCACTTTCATAAGTACAAGGATTCCAATTTAGATTTTTTAAGAATAGGGACCAAGATGCCTAACGAGGTCTCCGTACATAGGGATAATATGTAATTAGTCCATCTACTGCCTTCCCTTCTTTAGGATAAAATAAACCAGAAGAAAACTAGCATCCACCACACACTCTTAATGCAGAAGAAGTGGTAATCCCTCGTATAGAACAAACTTCTCTTTTTCTGAATTTTTTTTGTTGAAAAATTCAAGGTAAATAATAGCAATCTCAGACTCGATCATCCTAAATGTTTAGAATGTGAATATGAAATTGAAACACATACATCTCAGAGACAAATCACTCAATAAACTAGATGGATATACAGAAAGACGACATCCTAGATGGATTAACAGCGGGTTAATCACATAACAATTGAATCGGCATCGGAATCCATGACCAGTCGCAATGCAACGGATCTACTTAATCGATTGATAAATCATAAGCACTGTTAGTAGATTTCAACAACATATGCATAAGATCGAGAGAGCCTAAAACCTCCGGAATCGCTCCCAACCAGCGGAGAGAGACTTCTGGCCCCGAAACCTGCGATGGAAGGAGGGACGGGCGGAGAGCAAGGATTACCAGCGACGAACGGAGGCGCAACCGAGAGCGGAAGCGGCTTCGGCAATAGGTTTAGGATCAAGTTCAGTCGCAGCTGAGAAGTTCCTGGATGATGTTTTCTTGGCCATACACGTGGGAAGAGATCAGGGAAGGCCACGGGAAGATTGGTTCATCGAACCTCAAACCGGTACCAATTTTGAGTTCCCAAAACGGTGAAACACTCACAATGCGTTCCCCTTTGTAACCTCGAAACAAAAGTGAAATGACGCATATACCCTTCCCAATTTAGGAAAAATCCCTTCAAATATTTAGTTTTTCGAACATAAATAATATTTCAAATAAATTTTAAATTAATTAACACATTTTGTTATGCCAAGTGATGGTGATTAATTACATTAATCTTTTAAGTCTCTGTGCTTTGTACCGATAAAGACCAAAATCACTAACTTTGAAAGAATAACACACTGACACACACACACACGAAAAACTGTCATCTTGTGTTTCCAATCACATTTTTGGTATTAAACATTAAAATCTCATTTGTATTAATTAGCAGTGCCAAATATTCCCCCAAAAGGGAAAAGTGACTCTTCTGTTGGTTCTGCCTCTGCCACTGCCTACAGAAGGGATTTCATGCAAATAAAATAATGTACGCATGAAAAGTTTGGTTGGTTGGTTGGTTGATTACTTGGGCGGATGTTGGGATAGTATTCATTCATGTTGGCTGGCGTGATACGTGGCGGCGGTTCCTCCTTATCCTCTACACACTGACATGATCGGAACCAGCCTTTTGCCAAAGGAGAGGACCAAACCAATGCAAGCAGCACCCAATGGCGATGGAGGGAGACATGCCGAGCCCACCGGCGTCACCGATCGCTGGCAGTAGCATCCCACTTGTGAGCCACTCGGGGAAGGCGTCTCCTTCTATTCCTGTAGTAGTCGTCGTAGTAGCAGACATCCTCCTCCCTCTCACCCCTTCCTTCTCTATCGCACGCCATCAAAAGTTGGAATCTCCATGCACACTCACTCGTAGATGCTCTCGTCGGCTGCCATTTATCATACATAGATTCAACCGCATGCTCGATGCGGTGAACCAAACCCTTCGATGTGCTTCTTGCGCCACGAGCATCACGAGCTGAAACTAGAAAAGAACTTGCATGTGTCGAACATGGTTGCATGCGCTAAGAATCCAATGCGATGCAATGCATAAAACAAGTGTCGATTAATCAATCGAAAGGGGTCTGTGGTATGTTGGTGACATGAATTAACGCATCTTCTTGAGAACATCAATTGATAACGTGGCTACTCCGCAAGCGAAAAGGAACTTGGATTTGTGGGAACTCGAGGCATTTACGTTAAATTTCGAGGGGTCTATATGCAGATAATTCTTACTCGAGCATATTCATTGTTTCTTCTTTGGAAAATGAATCCAGACTGCAACAGTGTATGATGAGGCATCTTATTACATTCCTATATGACGAGGAGTGAGTGAATACATATGCAGAGTAGTTCTGATACAACATCTCATATAAATTAGACAATATTTCATTTAAAATTAGGAGGACAAGACAGCTCCTGAAGAGATGCCATTCCACCCACTGTTCATCAACAGAAGCTGAAAGTTATTTGGATCGGGGAGCAATTAAGCGGCTCGCGTTTTAACAGTTTCATGCGATATCTGTAAAGGAAGAACTTCCACAGATTCGCATTAGTTATCATCGCGAACACGGATCATCGATCGCTACTATTAACCAGATTACGACAACCACATATTAATCCGTGTCAACATGTAAACGCAGGAGCGCGCAGTTGTGGAGATGGAGACGATCGAGCCGCACACATCTTTTCAGAATAAGAGGAGAGAGGGAAGGAGAAAGAGGTTCCATGTCACGGCGAGCCACGTTCCCTGAGGGAGAGGACGGCGGGGCTCCACCTCGCCGCCACGCGTTCTCCTGGTGTCTCGCACATGAACATGTGATGTGGGTTTACACAGGTGCGGATGGGAGCGAGAGAACATGAGCTCCCCACATAAGACCTGCCTTGGGTTTTCTTTCTGAGCTTTAGGCAAAGTGTGGGGGAATCGCATAAAGAGAGAGAAGGACGCTAGGTCCGAACTATAATGTAAAATTCCTCCAATCAATCACATGAGTTTGTCCATGCTTGCCCTTCCTCAGCCCTTCTCTCTCTATATATCCAGTATCCAGCACAGCTTTAGCCTCCCCATATTCCATTCTAACCTGCAGATACAGAGATAGTCTCGGTGCATCGTCTCGCCTAATCTCTCTCTCTCTCTCCCTCCCTCTTTACAAGTCTCGCCTTTCGATTTAGGCGGGCCACAAGAGAACAATTCTCGCGTTGCATGCACTGCTATCACCTACAGGAGACCACCTTCCTTATAAAAGCCCAAGCCACCTAAACCAACAGAAACCAAGCCACCAACTTCGCTCAAGAGATCCATCTCTTCTACTCGAGCAACCGTTGCCCGCTTGACATCGATCGATCAGCATTAGAATACACTCCAGAACACAAGTAAGCTCTCGTGGCTTCCATTAAAACATGAGATGAGAGACATGGTATCGATGTATGGGTTGGTTGTCCTTACAGGGAGAATGAGCAGCGGTCGGAAGCCCGGGGACTGGGTTTGCAGGTCGTGTCAGTACGTCAACTTCTGCCGGCGGGACTCGTGCCAGCGATGCGGGGAGCTCAAGCTGGGCGTGGAGAGGGCGGACTACACCAGCGTCAGCGGGAGCTGGGATGTGAAGCCCGGCGACTGGTACTGCTCCTGCGGCGTCCACAACTACGCCAGCCGTTCCAGCTGCTTCAAGTGCGGCGCAACAAAAGACGACTCTGCTTCCGCGGTGGCGCAGTCTTGGGGTTTCAGATGCAGTGGCGCTTGGTCGTCGGGCTGGAAATCCGGCGACTGGATTTGCACCAGGTATATCACTCCTCCTGCTCCCTCCACCGCACCAATCTCTCCCTGCATATATAAGATTGCATTGCTCATAAGATAGTATACCACTGTTGTGTGTTAATTCCTGCAACAGGCATGCACACACACAAGAAGCTTATGATATAATCTAGAAGAGCAATTAGGACCACTATTACACAACAGTGGTGTAAAGCAGCGATCACAAGAGATGCCATGTGTTGAGATAACACGACTTTTGTTGTAGTTTTCAGCCACTATTACGTGAATATATTACATGTCAGCTGCGTAAAGTAGCACTCATCCCAAGAGATGCCGTGTGTTGAAGATAGCATGACTTTATTTAAGGTGTTCAGCCACTATCATTACGTGAATATTCCTGGAAGTAGTTGGATCATGGAAAATACATGGTTCGATAACCCATATTTCAATGTATATGCATGCATGTAAACTTTGGGGAGGAATATACCGTCTCGACCATGTACAACATAAGCTAAAAGGCAAAGTTATATATCATGGATTCTCCAACTTTAGCGTAGGCTGCTGATCCCACTTTATTGATGAAACAGATTAGGCTGCAACGAGCACAACTATGCCAGTAGGATGGAATGTTTCCGATGCAATGCACCGAGGGACTACAGTAAGTAATCAGTCTTGTGTTTAGCACTCTGATAACGAAGTCTCCTCTCTCTCTCTCTCTCTCTCTCGCTCTCTCTCTCTCATGACTCCATCTCCCTGTACGTTTCGTTTCAGGTTCAGGATACTAAGCAGAGGAGTAAACCAAGGAGAGTGGAGACTGGACTGAGTGTTGCTGTATCATTATCGTGTAGTTGCGTTGACGTACGAAATGGAAGAAAGGGCGTATGACACCATGTAACTTATAATATGCTTATAATATAGACATGAAAGAAGCTTATGGCAATTCCGTCTATTTAATATATATCCATATGTTAAAAGGAGATATGGACCTTTTGGCTTCCTTTTTCTTGTGTATCAACAGTTGTATGGCCCTGCTGCTGTTGCTACTTGACGTGCCATGTCACATTATTCTCTCAAATTATTGAGTGGTCCACGTCCCAGGGGAGGATATTGTGGGTTGCCAGCCAATGATTTAGCACTCATAATACCAGCTTTTGGGGACGTGAACGATAGTTACAGGGCCTCCTCCTCCTCCTCCTCCTCCTACTTGCATGCAACAGGGGTTGGCTTGATAGTAATAAATTCACTTGCAATGACTTCAACATGTTTTGGATATTAGAATCAAATGAATAATCCGGATATGTGATTCCTAAGCTTGTCAAGACCGTGAACCTGATGATTAGAAGTTTCTAATACATCAGTAGTGAACCTGATGAACAGAACGCTTTCCTCGTGTCGACAATGTGAGAAGCCTTGAGCATACGTACAACATATAAAAGGGACATTTTGGACTATGGTGATATGGGTCCCTCAAGTAGCACCTCAATGCGAATGATGCCAGAGTTATTGGGAAAATCTATTCAAAATTCGAAAAAATCAGTAACGATCTTGCCTTCGTAGAGAGCCACAATGCTGCGAGAAACTTCGGTGCAGGGAAGGAGAACACCACCAGTTGTACTTGCAGAGTAGTGATGGAGAGGAGAGGGGATGGGGGACAGAGGAGAGAGCGACGAAGGGAGAAGAGATCGAACGAGAAAACAGAGCTTTAGGGTTTCTAGCGACTTATGCGGGCCCTCTGTTGTGTCGAGCAAATCGCAGCCATCCCCTTTCACGCGCAATTCAAGACGGAAAGGGTCCCGCAAGTCATGTCCCATTAGGAGCCACGTCAGCAGATGGGTTCCTCCGTTGGGAGATGGGTAGAAGTTTTACCTCTCCCCTCTTCCTCCATTCGTGCTGTCCGCCCCCAGTCCCTCTCTCTCTCTCTCTCTCTCTCTCTCTCTCTCTCCTCTTCTTCTGCGCCGCACCACCTTTAGCAGAAGCGAATCGATTTGTGAAGTGTCATCTTTCTAGGGCTTCATTTTACTTTGGTGGATTGCGGTTGGTGTTTAGTCTCAACTGATTGAGATCGAGAACGAGATCGAGATCGAGAGAAGCATGGAGGAAAACGCAAAGAGGAACAGGGTCGATCTTGACAGACTCCCGATCAAGCGATTGGACGCCATTGATGAAGCCGGGAACGAGCAATTCCCTCCGTGTGCATCGCCCTCCTCTTACGGCCCCCCCTCTTCTTTCTGTAAGTTATATTTTAGGCGTGACCTGAGCACCTTCTTCCTTGCAGAGATGTCAGTCATGAAGAGAAGCGTCTTGGTATGATTCGGCGGATCGATTTCTCTAACGTGGTGGCGGAGAATACGGACACGAGGAAGAAACAGAAGAAAAGCCCCAAGGAAGCCGCTCCCGCACCTCAACAGGCCTGGCCTTGGCAGAGTTTGGTGGAAAATTTGCAGCTTGCCCATCAGGAGTTATCTATCATCATCGATCTGATCAATACGGTCCTTTCTCTCTTTCCCCTCTTCTCGGAATGCAGTTGCAATGTTGTCTTTAGTATGGAGAAGTTATTTAATATTCCTATTTCCTGCCTCCAACGGATCGTTCTTCAGTTCATTTGCTCATGTTTGTTGACTCCCTTAGCTTCGCTGCGTGTTTCTATGAGATATTTGCTGATTAAGATTAACCTAAAGTTGCTACTGCTGTTGTATGTAACATGGACACGTAAATCCAAGAATACTCTTTCAATTCACAAACTTCTTTAAAGATGCTGGTCAGGCAAGACCGTTTTCTGTATTAGCAATTTCTAACCTTTTCTTAACTCCTAATATTTTGCCCTTGCGTAATGGTGTTCCAGATACCCAGTGAGTGGTCAAATGTTGAACCGTGCTAATATCAAATGAGCATGGTAACTTTTATGCTTATAGGTTAAGGGAATTGGTTTATAGCATCCACAAGTGTTTTAGGGTCTAGGGTTTTTCATACTAGCAAATTTCTAACTTTTTCTTAACTCCTAACTTTTTGCCCTTGCCTTTTCGTGTTCCAGACACTGATTGGCCAAAATCTTAAACAATGATTATATCCAATGAGCATGGTAATTGTTTGGCTTATATAGCAAGGGAATTGGTTTGTGGCCTCCACAAACAGTCAAGTGTTTAGGGTTCTTAGTCTAGATAGTTTATGAGATCCACACTTGGGTTTAAGTTTTATTATACAATGTTAAGGTAGTGTATGAGATCCACAAAGGTAGTCAAACTCTTATTCTTTTGATAAATAAAATGATTATTTAGATTTTTATCTTTGTAGCTTTTCATTTGCCTCTATTAATGGTATACTAATACTAACTATCATAAATATCTGGTATGTTTGGATCTATAACCAAGAACTTAATAGACGAGTGATCAAGTTGTTTCTCATCATTTTTGTTCATTTCCGAACATGCAGCAGCTAGTTGTGAAATACAGAGAAGCTTGGCTATGCTTTTTCCCCACATAAATTATGGAGAAGCTTGTTTATTGTAGGTTAATTTACATAAATAGAGAATTTACAGTCAGTTATTTTCTTGGAGATAACTATGTAGGTTGAAGCAAATGATGCAGTAGCAGTGGCTGGAATGCAAAGACCAAAGCAGTTGCCCAATGAAATCCTCTCGGATCTTGCAGTATCTGCAGCGACCAAGCTTCAACGTCTTCGGGTACTAACTTCACTATTAAAATGCAGTAGTGTTTAATGTACTTCCAAGTCATATTATGTATGGCTTTTACAGTTCAATAAGTTTGACCTGCAATTGATCATAATCTCCCTAATGAAGTACTAATAACTGATTATGGTTTAAGTGTATGTTTAGTTGTCTACACTTTACGGTCTAGAAATTTTACTCTGATAGGGATTCTTCTGCTCTTAGGCTAGCATGAAGTTTTGGGCACTACATGTTTATCCCTCATACCATCTGTACTCATAATGAGCAGTTTGGTCTGTGGCCACCAGTGAGATGTGGATGTGTATGTCAAAGGGAATTTTCTCTTGTGTTGCAAGCATTCTTGCATGCCTATGGACATGTCAAATATATATGAGGACATTCCAAGAGATCGATTCTGCAACGGAACAAAAAAGAGAGATGAGAATGTTTGATCTTAGAATTGTATTCTTAGTCGATCATAGCCCCACAGTTTCTCCTAGCTGACCCTACTGCCGAACACAATTTTGTAAATTTTGATCAATATTTTTCCCATAGTTTACCCACATGATATTTTTTAGAATTAGAGGTTTTTTATTACTCTTAAAGAAAACTAACGGGCAACACATATATTGAATAATGATTATAAATATTTTTAAATTTCTAATCCAAATACTTATAGATCAACTAGAGTTGCTTACAATTTCAAAGTAGTTTTTAAGAAACTCTTATAACGATAACATGTGTTATATTTAATTATGAGTAAAGCTTGAGGGTCACAGTTAAGGGATTTGTAAGTATGTTGAAAGTCAACATTCATCGAGGGTGAACTGATCTTCAATTGTATATAGTAGGTTTAGCTCCTCACCCGATGCACTGGATTTATCCTTTAGAACATGATAAGATGACTCCTCCTCAACTTGGATGATCAGAGTTTGAGTCACAGAAATACTGTCTCTGTTTATAGGGTAAGACTACATACATTTATCCTTCCTAGACCCCATAGTGATGGAAACCTTGTGCACTGGTTTTGCCCTTCAGCTCCTAGCATATTCTAATGTGCTACACTAGGTTAATCAAGTGTCAACTATTTGTCATTCCCTTAAATGAAAAGTCTCAACTATTTTCTTCACACTGATTAATCAGACTATGGAGAATAAATCTGGATGTTATTCTGAATTTAAAATAATTGTTCTTTTTGGGTCTTACGCTGACAACATCTGGTGGTCCTTTCTTTGACTTAGCACATTTGTTAATTCTAAATTTTGTGATTTTTTGCTTCTGGGACTTAATGCATGCCATACAGAATCTTGGTAGATACTTCAAGCAATCTTCAAAAGCAATGGAACAAAAAGTCTCAAAAGAGGCTAGATTCTATGGCTCACTGATCAGGTATGTTCCAATCTTATGGCAGAAGCATTTTCAAATTTGGGAAGAGTATCTAACTCAGTTTTCCATAAAATGATAGATTGCAGCAACACTGGAAAGTAAAACGACAACGTCTGTTAGCAGCAGGCCCAGGAAGTGAGGGGTTCACATTTGATATGCTAGATAATCCAGCAGACACAACCATGATATCTCGTCCATCACCCATTGGTGTGGTTCGTGTTCTTCATGAGACTGCAGGCCTTTTGGCCATACAAAGACCTCAAAGATCATGCCGCTTCATATCCATTAGATATCTTGGGACCAATTTTAGTTCCAAACACAAAGGACTCCCTACAGGGAATATATATGGCTCAGATGAGAGTCCTCAAGCAGACAAGAAGGAAGCTTTAACTGATGAAGATGTCAATTCCTGGGTCAAAGATACACATTCAGCTCTTCGTGAGATTCATCAATCAATATTTTTAGAGCAGGTAATATTGTTCTAATTATTTCATTCACCATTATGAACTTCGTAAGTTGTTGGGTTTAATTGGAATTGTAGGTTTTTGATCGGGTGAATCGTGAAAGTTACGGCCCGTCTCCAGGAATTAATGTCACTGGGATGCGAGAAGACTTTTTACAGTTAGCAATTGATCAAGATACTTCAATATGTTTATGCCTTGTGTCCTCTAAGAACGAAGATGATATTCAGATGATTGACTCCAGGAGACATCCTCAAAATGGGGAAAATGGGCTCACACGTCCTGACTCATCAGCATCAGCAAATACTAATGAGGACAATAATCCTCTCAAGATGAATAAATTTGGAGTTCCTAATCCTGTCAGTTTAGAGATATATTTGCTCCATGTTTTCCATAAAAATTTCCAGGTGAAAGTAAAGGAGAGACATTTTGCCACAAGAGCACCAGTTCCTGGTCAGGCTCCTGCTGATTCTTGTGGTCTCAGTCATTTCTGTAAGACAGTAGCCCATAGAATTTTTTCCAACAAAGTGCTGGCAGAAATTGAATGTCTCGTAAGAACTGTTCCTCTCTCTCTCTCTCCAATGATGAATCAGATTATGGAGAAAGTATGTTCTGATTCTACCTTCTTTTATATTCAGGTCAGCCGAATTCCATATCTTCAGTTGTTATCTCACCCTACTTGGCATTCCAGATCATCGTCATGGTCCCTTTCCTTGAAATTTCCCGACTCAATTTTTCATGCTGGTTGCCTCTCCAAGCATCCAAACATCTATGATGTGAAGCATTTAACCAGGTCACAGTTCCATACCAAGATAGTGGTCAAGGATGACCAAGTTACTGTGAGTGGAGAAGGTGCACCTGGTATCCTTAGTTCATTTAGAGGAATTTCTGCTGATGTTTTCTCAGTCAGTTGTTATGGTTGTGACTTGGATGACCTCCCACTGGTTCTTCTTCAGCAGGTATGATTGGTAACATACAGTGTGTGTTTATTCTAGAAAAAGGTTAAAGTTCCAAAATGATAGTACTTGTATTGTTTGACTTGAAAAATTCACTCTGCCAAGATGAAATCATCATGATGGAATGTCCAACTAAGTTCCGAATTCCGATCCTTGTTCCTTTTTGTGGTTGCTCAAATTTTAAAGGTTCAACATTTCTTACATTTAGTGCCTATTGTATTGTCAAGGCCTTGAAATAGTTTAGCTTAAAGCTTAAGAAATTTAGCAGATTGACAAAACAAGAAGTTCTTAGAAATTAGAAATTTGCGACCAAATGATTCAAGAGTACAGAGTAGAGAATGCTTTAACCAAGCTAACTTTGATGTCATTGTCTAACTAAGACAATTTTTTCAAGATATTTCCAGCTGCACCCTTGTATGATATGACCAAAGAAAAAGTCAAGGTTTCATTTGAGCAATGAAGCAGATTGCAGGAAATCTGAATTCAAACAAGAAAAGAATGGAACATTAGTGGGATGGTTCATGTGGCCCATTATATCTCAACTATAAAACCTATATAAATCCTGCAAAGAGTTGTATAAAATTCAATAAGCAGGTCAGGAGACTAAATCGATAGACAGCAAAAGTGAAGTATCAGTTTGGAGTTCACTAGTTTGTAGTTAAAATAGCTGTATAGAAACTGATATGAGACTCGAGTCTTTTGGAACATGTGAATGCTAGTTAATACATTTTAATATTTTCCCTTCCACTGCAATTGAATTGTCATCATTGTTAGGTTATTGTAGAGTTTTATTCATAAGCTGATCTTGAAAGAGAAAATTGATCCTTACAAGACATGTTGCTCATTAGTTCTGCATTGTTGATCTGGCTAGGAAGAAAAGTGTAGCGCAATGTCATTTGTATGCATGTGAACTGTTTTGACATTGTAATTGCTTCCATCTTTTAAATTGTAATCTTCTATTAGTATAAGAATCTCCTGATTGTTTGCATTTTGATGATGATTTCCCGGGATATTGAATTATGACAGAAAATAACCTTGATGGTATTCGGCAGGATTGACACCACGTGTATATGCATCATTGAATTTTCAGAAACCTTATTCTGTACTCTTATCAAATTAACCTTGACATTGCATCTTTGCTTCTGACAGATCGCAGGCCAGATCATCCATTGGCTTCACGAGGAAGCTTTGGTAGTTGGGATGAAGGTAAGTAGAGACTTCCTATGCCTGTATTTTGATGTGGACCAAGGTGACATGCTTGGCCTCGTGGCACATGTGGACCCTAATGATGTTGATGGCTGCATATCGTGGTGGTTGATAATGGAGGATGGATTGACGGAGGATGGGAAGTTTTCTAGAGAAAAGGGGGAGTACGAAAACCGAAGATTTCTCGGTCATTTGTCTCTTGAAGCATTGTATTCTCTGTTGATGGATCTAGTGAACCTGTGTAGTAGTACTACCGGAAGCCATTAATAGTTTAGGGATGGATGATTTCTTCTAAGAAGTAATTCTCATAGTCTGTATCAAGATGATCCTGTAATACATGGTGTTGAAATTAGTACTATAATTTTCTTCTCGCAAACTAAATGCTTTTGTGCTGCGACTCCCTTTCAGACGGAATGGTACTGCGACAGGGTGTGTTTTTAAGTAAATTCTTGTAGAACATTAGTGATGCCAGCTAGAGGAGTTGCAGCTTGTGATAGGCCTTATCTCGGTTGTGTCAATTTGGAATTGGAATTGGAATGGTTGGTTTCTGTTTTATCAAATTTGGAGCTGGAACCGAGTTGGTTCTATAGTCAGTTTGGGTTTTGATATTGAAATTATCCTACTGTCGGTTTTGATTGATTAAAAAATAAATAAATTATTTCGTCAAGATTCAAACTCGGGCATTAGACTTTATGATTAGAGTACTAATCATATATTTGTGTTTCTTTAAAAAATAAATAAACTATTTCGTCAAGACTCAAACTCGGGCATTAGACTTTATGATTAGAGTACTAATCATATATTTGTGTTTCTCTTAATTTTTTCCATTTTTAGTCGGTTTCAAATCATTAGATAAAGTCTTAACCACTATATCTATTATGTTTTACTTTGGTTCCGAACCATCAAATCGTTGATCTACATCAGTTGCGATTCCAAGTCAATTCGATTTTGGTTCCGTTCGAACAAAATCCCGGCCAGGAACATCTTTCTACGAGGAGATATTGTTCCGTGACATGCTAAATCGACTGAAACCTGGTTGACTCCCTGCCCACCAGCAGGTATATCCATACTGCTGAAGGGGTTCATAAGTGAGGATCAAGCTGAATGGGTTAAAGTAGGGTTTCGAATACTGATCCATACCAATATATCTCGAGTTTTACTCGGCACGATACGAATGGATATATATATCATTAGTACGTTAGGACATATCGATGATATACTCTAAAACCTTAAAAATACCTCCACCTACCATATCAGGATACACCGACCGATAAGCCTCGGTAACAATTGTAATCCAAGACGGTATTGGTCGATTTACCTCGGTACCGATCAAAACATTGGCACCGCCCAGTAAAGAACGAACGATTCGCATATCAATATCCTCTTGGATCAGTATATAATGCCCGTATCGAACAGTACACATTAAAATTGGCAACATGGGCTGAACATCATTTACCATTTGAGATGTCAAAGCTTATTAGTGTACAAACTGATTTCTGTGTGTCATTATATTGTTGTCAAAATCTATGACATCTTAATCCTACATCAGTTTTAATTTTATTCATTTCTTCCATTAGACTAATAGATTTACAGCTAAATACACACTTAGCTTGAAAAAAATTCCAGGTTAATCGAAAGACACAACGATAAGAAAATCCACAAAATCTACTTGTAAAATTCACAATTTGTTTACAACATTGCTGCTATAAAGTACAATTATAAATATATAATATGACATTCCTATAGACATGCTATAAGGTAAACTCTTGTCCCTTAATATGTCGACATTCTCAGTGTTCAAGATCAACTATGCAAGAGAAACACTAGTCCAATTCCAATGACTAACGATAAGAAAAAACATCTTGTGAGACCTCCAGAACACATAGTAGCAGCTTAAGAACTTCACGGTTTTAGTGTTACAGAATTGTGGCTCAAGTTTCCACTATATCATGTTCGATTCATAGCCTGCATAGGAATGAGAATGAGAGCACCTGGTTCCTTGTTTCCTAATGACAATGTCCATCGGCTGCTACTCCTTTCATTCACATCTCCTCCAGTCGAAGATGCTTCTGCCGTGCGAAGCAGCACAATTTTTGCAAGCATTGCAGTAAGCAACGTCAAGCATACATCTCTCACATTATATAAAGATCACCATTGGAAGTTGACTTTTCCTGTGCTAAAAGAATCTTACCCCATCAAAGATGAGCAATAATAAATTGTTTACGCACATATTCGGTGTGCACAAAAGATTCTAGCTATTCTTCTTACCTGATATTTTGATGAATGAGGTTGTAAGTTGCCCAAGCAAATATCACAACACCAGAGCATATCAATGTAGCTGCCGGTCTACATATGATAGCTTAATCAAGCCAAACAAAAATCTGAAATCCATAAAACACGAGCGTTAAAGATGCCATCCGAGGGGCACATGTTCATAAAGAATTCTTGTGAAAGCAAAATTTGAAGGAAAAAAAGAAAACTGGTACAAGCAATTTCATAAATGTTTGTGTTTATAATTTGATGAATGCAACAAACAAAGAGATATTAATAAAATCCTATAAATTTCAATATAGTTGATCCTATGAAATTCCAGTCCTGAAAAGAATAAAGATCATGCAGGCCATGTTGATTCAAATTATCATTGAACCACAAACACCTGGTGATATATCCTAAAAATTGTACCACCTAAGTGAGGGCCCTCTCACCACAACAAACTCATGAAAATAAACTTGCTTCCTATCAACCATGAAGGAGAAAACACATCTAATCCACCAGAAAAGATTACTTTCAAGGTTCCAAGACAGTTTTAAATGTCCATGATTTCAATAACACACCAACTGAAATCATGGCAGTGGCACAAGCACACAATAGAGAATATAAACTACAAAAGGCTAGTTAGACTAAATGATGATGATAAATAAATCTATCATTATTAATTGCCTTCCAACTTTTGCAGTTGACAGAACCAAGCAGAAAAGAAAGGTAAAGTCAAAGACTGCTCTATATTGCTTGAACAAGTAATTTTTTTCAGAAGAAATGAGATCTGTGAATTATCAAAACCTAATGTTAGTCATTTATGAAAAATATGACTAGCTATAATGAACTGTTACAGAAAATAAGCTATAATCTTATATTTATGAAAAATATAAGAATTATAATCTATAAATCTTTTGAAATTAGGTTATAGCAGAGCCATAGATCTGACACTTAGTTAAGTGACAAATACTGATAACCACAGACCATACAGTTGAGCAGATATAAATTAAGATCAGCATATAATAGTCCAATGAATTAGAAAACTTTACCCAATGATCAAGACAACAAGGGCTGTAAACCAGAGAAGATATTGGCACAGGTTGTGCTTTGGTCTAATGAGTTCCATGTTATAACCTGGAGGGATGTGCCTACGGCTGATCCACCCAAACTGAGGACGCATTAGAAGCACAAAACCAAGCAGAAAACCAGAAACAAATCCTCCAATATGGGCAGAACTATCCACATGAGGAACAACTCCAACCACCAAGTTAATAGCAATTACGACCATTAGAGTCAAAAGTGCTGCACACTGAAAGGAATTTCAATTCATGTTTTATCAATTCAAAATCTAGTTTTAGAGCTGTCTTTGATACTCTGCCATTTAATAATTAATACCTTATTAGAGTAAATTGTCCAATTTGTGATCAGCTCAGACAGCATTGCCCCTAACAATCCAAAAAGTGCACCTGATGCACCAACTGATATATTTGATTGAATAGAGAAACAGGACATCAAGCTCCCACCAATGCCAGAAAGGACATATAGTAATCCAATTTTCACTGCATAAAATAACAATGAAGAAAACAATTAAAGGTATATCTTAGTAGATAATGCAGCAACAGCAACCTTCATCCAGGGCGATATTACATATGAAGTTTCAGCAACATAAAAAAGATGCAAATAAGTAAAAAAATCTGCATCAGAACTATAAAACTCATAGAATTAGGTAGGGGCAGCTGCTATGAGGCCTCTTGAAAGACTGTTGATCTTTTGTGATTTTTAGCAGAAAAGTCATCATCTACAGGATTCTGATGTATCAAGTTTTCTACTATCTTTTAGGAAGCTTGAGACCAGCTTGCAATTCTGCTAAAAATTTATAAGGACATACCAAGAAAGAAGTAGTGCCTTCTCCTCGTGGCATAAAAACCAACCACAACTGTAGTTTCCAAGCTTACAGGGATTTTATAGAATTTCAAGGTAAATCTTACTTTTCAGTGAATGCTTGACATGTAGATAATCTCATATTGTAAGCTATTGAACTACAGTCCACATGGATCTAAGAGGATCAGGCAAAGGATTCCCATGCCACATGCTGAACTCATGTCAGCCACAGAGTAATGCAATTTTGTGCTGCACTTGCCAGCCCATGCAGATTTCAGGACCTGGAAGATTCCTGCATTTGAACATAGGCACATGGCATATGAACAAATATGCCTGCATGCTATGATAAAATGAGCATCTTTTTGCCTTTTTTGAACTATTTGTTCTCATGGGCAATGAGTCCAGATGTTGTGACCAGTGTACTAAGCTTCTTACAACAAACAAAAAGAAGGCAAATGTACATCTGAAGTTAGTATAAGATGACTAACACTAGTTCACATTTTAATTCTTACCAAATCCAAATTCCTGTTCAAGACGAACGCCCGTGAATAGAAGGCTTAACATGTTAGCAAGCAAATGGATAACCCCAGCATGTAACCATATGCAGGCAAGAAGCCTCCATCTTTCACCTTCCACTACTACTTTATTGTAATCAAGAGCCCCCAAACTATCAAGCCTGCATAAAGTTCAGAGATGGATTACAATCCTCTCTTTGCTTAGTGCCACAACATTAGCATTGTGATATAAGAATGAGAAATAAATGTAATATTTGTTAACACCTTATGTCAAGTACAATGCAACGACATCTTTAAAATTTCACATCATAATGCATTCAACATTGTAGCATGCATATGCATCATTGTGTACACATTACTTCATGATGTCCAAAATTCTTCTATTTCAGAATGTGAATAGTATAATCCACAATGTTAGAGACTTGACAAAATTGACAAGATAACAGACACTAACATGTACCATATATTCCTCTCATGTTCTAAACTTCTAATGAACCGTTACAGAAAAGATCATAGTATCTTATAAAAGTCTGCCACCATTAGCACAAGGACACAAAATTTCATGCATAAAAAAATAGCATATAGAGATTTCCCTCAAAAAAATAAAAAAAGAGCCAATCCTTGGTTCTTAAGACTATTGATGAGAAAATAATTAGCAGTCCAAAGTTCAGGGTCTAGGTTATCTTTTCAAAACTGTAGGAGGAATGGACCAAGTACAAATTATTAAATTAATATTATATAAATCTAAATAAACACCGAGAAGAAAGTACTACATTCTCAACAGCCAAGCAAGATGGCTGCCAATAGTCTATGTCGCTCAATCAAGTTCACAAACTCAGATGGAAGCAACAAGTTCACATCCAGAATTATTCACAATGTAGTTCTGAAGTCCACCTTACATATGACATCAATGTAAAAGAAGTTATCAACGAGGTCATGGTATGTAAATATTCTTATATTATGAAGTGAATTAAATAATAAAAAGAAAAGGGACAAAATATTAGTGGTATGAAACATCAGATGTTTAGGGAACAAAAAAGAGAGCCCAATGCAGGACAAGTCCTAATTGTGCTCATGAGAGCTTGAGTTCTCTTATTTCCTTTGATTTTCTTCATCTGTTTACAAGTTCTGCTTTTTTCCCCTTTTCTAGTTCTTTTTCTCTAGTATTACACACAAATAGAGCTTGTAATCTTGTAATTAAGTTTTCTAGTCATAAATAAACCTATTTCTAAAATGAGTAAAATCCTGCTGTGAGCGAGTAATCATTGATGCCATCAAATTCACCATTGCTCTTTTTGCCCTCCCCTTCGTTTTAGTGAATCTGATTTGGAGAGTTTGCCACCCATTAGTCAATCGTTGAACAACGAGACAAACTCACAAATGTGCAACTAGCTAAATAAACCCAAACCCCAACACCCCCACCCCCCTAAAACGAAAAGGCCATACAACGTGACCTTTGCGGGATACAAGAAATGCAAAAGCCTGGTACTAGCCACGGGTGTGATAACATTCAATTGCTTCCTTTTCTATTCTCCTCTCCTATGCATTGTCAATCACTAGATACAAAGCGAGAAATATCAAGCATAACAAATGCCAACTGCAGTTAAGATTCAAAGGGAAGGAACAAGGCATAGAAGAATAGAACCCGTAATAGGATGATAAAAGAGAGACGAGCTGACGTGTAGAGGGAGGGACCAAGGAGCGGGTTGATGGAGAAGGGCTCGAAAGCGAATCGGCCAAGGGAAGGGAAGACGCAATCGGAGGCCTCGAGGCGGTGGGTGGAGGGGCAGTCGTTGACATACATGGTGTAGCCGAAGGAGACAATGTTGGCGAGGGCGATGAGGGGCACCAACCACGCCACCCACGTCTCCTGAGGCGGCGGGGGGCACGGTGCCACCCACGGGCCTCTTCGGCCAGCGTCCAAGTCGCTCATAGCTGGCGAATACGAAGCCTTCTTCCCCATCCTCCTCCTGCTTCGTCCGACGGCAGCACGAGACCGGAGGGAAGAAGGCCACTCTCGCGCGGTCTTCTTGGACGAAGGTTGTTAGGAGGCAGAGGGCGACGGGGAAAGACAACCAGCCAATCAAAGAAAGAGGGAGGAGGGAGCCACCACTGCCGAACACATGCAAAACCGAATACATAAATAATTATAATACAAATAAAAAAAGGATTAGCGGTTATTTATTTATTTTTCCGTTTTCCTTAAAAAAAGATAAATCAATAAAGACAGAAAAAAATAAAACAACTCATTTTTAAGAGACAAAACAAGAATATTAAAAAGATGAGACTCTACGCGATGAAAAATAAGCATGACTATTTGTGGCGAGAATTGGCCCAATAAAAATTCGCCCAACAAAAATTAATTCTTCTGACTAACTAATTTTGTTTAACGTAAAACTCCTTTTGCACACCTTTTGTCTTATTTTCCCGGAAGCTTTCGTCCTGCCAGGATAAAAAGAAGAGCGTATTATAACATGGACACTATCAGAAATGAACCAGGAAAGAAAGCAAACCACAGCTTAGATATAAATATATTCCAATGCATCAAGGAAGTCTCACCTGTCCGGAGAAACAGATAGACAACTCGGAACAAAAAGAATATTCCAAAATCAAGAGAGTACCTTAGGGTATTGCAATGGATGGTGATCAGAAGAAGCTGCCACCTATATTTCTGTCCACCTTAAGTCGTGGATGACAGCAAGACCATGGTTTCAGCGCAACTTTCCTGCTTAAGAGTCCTGCTAGTAGTTTAAGCAATTGTAAGCACATCTTCCTATGAAGTTTCTCTTTCTTGTGCTTCTTTAAACTGAATTAATCAAATGGCAAACAGGCAAGTGTAATTTCTAAGAGTATCAAGCGCCACAAATAATCATTGAAGAGATCAAGGTATCTGCCTAGAATCAGAGAGGAACATCTGGAACCACATGACAAAATAGTTACATTATACAGAAAGTTATGAACCTAATTTGCAACATACCCTTGAACAAACAAATTTGATATCCTATGAGATAAATGCTAAAAGTTGGTAGAGTGGTCTTGCTGACCAGAGAAGACAATTCTGCATAGAAGCTGATGAACCCATAAAGCAATCAAACCCTTCCAGAAAGATAGCTTGCAAATGAATCAATTGGCCTTTTGGTTATCTGGTGTTCCCCTCTCCTGGCATCTTACCTTGATCCGAACCAGGTAATCAGCTGCTATCCATGCAAAACTAAGCCGTGCAGGCACCCCATCCCCATCAGGTTCTTTTAATTCGTTGTACTTTTTTACCCACCGAGGATGATAAGTCACTTGATACCATGCTGAAGCCTTCATTTCATAAAAAAAACACTTCTCATCATCTGTAAGTTGTAAAAGATCAGGGCTCATGGTCTTAAAAATATGCCGGAACTGTTTACGAAGTGAGCTGTATGCATTCTTTAGCCGCTCCTTTAACTCGCCTTGTTTCCTGCTATTGTACTTTGGCAAGGACCAAATATGGCCAGTAACCACTTCCCCCTCTGAGCTGACTCTGTACTGAGCTAACAATGCATTTAGATGTCGGTCATATACAACCTTGTTTTGCCATGCATCGGCAAGGTAATCTAAGGATCCAATAATCTCAAGATCCGTATCATAGGGTAAGTCCTCAAATGTGCATGGTAGTTCGGATGGCAACTCATCATCAGTGGCATCTTTGATCTTACGATACAACTTTCCCAAGATCTTCTCTGACTTATAGGACAAACGGTCTACCTTACCCATGAAATCAGGATAGGTCTTAGGTTTAAGGGCTGGCGGCATAGTTACAATTTTTCCTGTCTTCGGGAAGTCCACAGCAGTGGCAGCCAGCTCAGCTAACTTAAGGCAATTCTCATCCAGGGCTCCATGTTCACTACGGTCAGCATGGACCACATGAGCATTACAAATGACACCATGGTTTTCATTTACCATATTCTTCAAATAGAAGTCAATAATGTCCTGGAGGAAAAAAATTGAAAAACCATGTGTGAAATTCTACATGTAAAAACATTTCCTGGAACATCAATCTTTTACAGACACAAAATAAATATCAGTGCGAGTACACAGTTTCTTAACTCATGCTAGCAATATGATATTGCATGATTACAACTTGATCTTCCATTGAAAAAAAAATATCCGCTTCTATTTACTGAAAACAGCATATGCATATTTACAACGTATAGTTCATATAATACTGCAGAGTTGAACGACCAACACACAAACCGAGCAGTCAATTTTGGGTTTATCAATCTTAAGAAAATTCTCATCAATTATTCTTCACATAACCTTCAAATGAATAATAACAAACTCTATAACCCAATATATGTATTTTGGGTGTACCAATCTTAGGAAAGTCACAAATTAATTTTTCTTCATATAACCTACAAATAGATTATTACAACTTCATAACCCAATAACTAACAGTACATAATATGCTAACCAAACTTTTGTCAGCATATGGACCCAGAACTGTGACCTGTTTATCGTAACTCACCCTACCATCTCTCTTATTTGATGACCAGGGAGAAGCTATATTAACAACTATAAAAGGATATATCTCATGGAAACAACAACCATCAATATCCTTTAGTACATTTATACTAATGCTTCACCACTAACAGATGGACTACAGCTGTATACATTTGATATTCCAGCTGAAGCTGTTGCTTAGAATAAAAAAACTATTTCCTGATGATGCAACAACATAATAAAAAGTGTATTTAAGCTAGTTCTTAGCTGAGTCTAGGGTGCACCGGATTTGAGATACTAAATTCAACTAAATTATTTGGGTACTTTAGATGAGATTTTTAGTAAGATTATCTTAAGGGTAGCTTAGAAGTGCAACAAGAACCCTATATTTTAACAAGATTTTACTTATGACTTTATTTTAGCCATAATTTGAATCTGCCAAGTCATGAAGTTACTTAAAATAAGGTTTTGGAAGATGTATCCTTTTGGATTTATTTTTTTGAAGGTATGAATATAGCATTTTGGGAAAGTTCTGTTGCGATAAAGTAGGAAGTAAATGATCTGAAAGCCTTCTAACTTAAAAAAAAAGAAAATCATCTCTTTTGCCTGAATGTGATATTCGAGATGATGGCATGAAGCTATTGACCCTGCACGTTTCTCTCGAAAACCAAAGTGAGTGCAGGGAGACCCTTTTACTATCTTCTTCTTCTCCTTTCTTCTCCCAGGATGTTTTTAGAATATCCCCCATCCCCCATGTAAAACTGATTCACAACTCAACTTCATTGTAAGTTTTGGGACAGCAAGATAATTACTATGTCCCGTTGACCCATTCTCCAATTTTTGGTATTTGATACTATAAGCAATTATATAACCACTATTCATGATTTCCTGCAAACTATAATTTGTTCTCTTGACATAGATTCAATGATTAAGGTTCCACTATAGTTGCTATCATCTGACTGGTCCATCATCGTGTAGATTTCGTGAATCAGAAGTTTTGAAGTCCATGGCACATGCAAAATACTAGCAAGGTAAAAATCATATAGTATAGAACTTACTTGAGGCAAGATTTGCCGTGGGAATTGCTTGACTTCAGCAGGGGTATAATCCATTGGTACCCAGCTCTTCTTGCCTGGAGGTAAAAGATTTTCATCCCATGTCACAAAGTAGAGATCGCCATCCAGGTCACTTCCAGATGCCTCATTGGTATGAGGCCTGTCTCCTCTTTGAGGAAATATTAAACAATCAACAAGATGATGCAACTCAGGTACATCAACAGCTTCAAGGATCCTAATATCTCCTGGGTGAAGACACGGGTTTTTGCCTACAGCCACAGTACCCACAATGACTTGCCTATTGTTCTGTGATGCTGAAAACCTCGAACCGTGCTTTGACAAACAATTCTCCAGTGAAGGAGTTGACGCCTGGATAAAGCATTGTCCATGTTCAAGAACCCCAAGTTCATCAAGGCAGCCCATTAACAACCTACCTTTTGGAACAAAAATTTTTGTTTTTGCCAAAAGATCTCCTAGCTGTGTGGACCTTATGCATGAGAGCATCGCTTTCAAGTGAGGTTCACTTTGAGGTCTGAAACCAGCACTCAACATCATTGCTGCAGTGTTCCCTTGTTCAGCACATGAGGTGGTAAGAATCTCAAATGCAACATTGGTATCATGAAGTATCTGATTCAGTTTAAGAATCATCGTGTCCTGCATTCTTTCAAAAACACTATCAGGTACCTTCAATGATGAAAGCAATGTCACAATCTGTCGGTTTAAAAAGCCTGGCTGGAACCTGGTCCATGAAACCACCTCCAAGATTGTATGGTTAGACTCAAATTTGTTCATGCTTGGTCTCAGGGACAGCTTGATCCCATCATCATTTCCTGGCCAAACAGCTACGACCCCTTTGCAGCCAGCATATCTGATCTGATAGGCAGAAGGGGGGTCCTCCGTCAAATGCAGTTTTTGGGCAACTTCCAGTGCAAGCTCTGGTGTGATCTTTCCTATTCCATCTGAAAAGACATATCCATTTCGCTTAATATCTTCAAGTTCAGAATTTACTTCATTTGGTGTCACGTTCACCGTGGCATATGTGGATGAAAAGCACTGCCCCATTCGAGCAGCACACTTCGCGACATTCTTATTAGAGAATTTGCCCATCCAGTTCCTAATGGTTGCCACTGTTATAGAGCCAGAAACCTCTGCAAAAAACCAGGCGGACCGATCCCGTAGCTGATTGGACGAAAATGCTAAAAAGGAGTACTTCTGACCATATAGATGAAAACCATTAGTTAGTATATCCTTTACCCTCTTAAACACAGTAGTTTTCTGAGGAAACGAGTTTGAAGTGATGTCCCGAACGATCGGTGCAACATAGTAGTTCAAAACATTACTATTCAACTGTTGCATCCCTTCATCCGTAAAAGTCACCCTCAAGAATCTATCAGCAACCTCCTTGTACTTCCGAAGGACCCTATTCGAGAGTTCTACCTCTGGAGGGAGACAGTACGCCTTTGTTGGAGTTATAACAAGCTTCCTCACTTCAATAATGTCATCAGAGAACTTCGAGTGCCTGAGAAGTTTGGGGTTCCTTAAAAGCCACTCCTGGACAAGCTTAAGCCTCCCCGGGGCATCAAATATGGGGTGCTTGTAAGACAAGATATGCATCAGTGCTGTTCCATTTACCATCTCACTCTGGCACCTCAGTAAGGAAAAGAACTCCTCAGACAGTTGGTGCTGGTTAACTATGCCTCTATGTACTAGTGCATTCACTAAAAACATTGTTGCAAAATTGATACCTTTTTTGTTCTGAATACAGAAAAAGGGATCAGACATGTGAGCTCCATAACCAGGCTCATCTCGGACTACAAGCCGGCATCTCGGCCGGTTCTCAGCTACACCATGTTCTCTCAGATAAGCCAGGGATCTCTCCATCTTAGGCCCAAAACGTGGGGACAGTGAAATTCTGTATGAGTTACACCGACCGATGGCACCACTAGGTGTAATGTCCGTTGTTCTGATCCAGGGATCCTCATCGTCTAACAGATTAAACGGGACAGACGTGTAGATGTCATCATCAGCAGTCCGATAATACACGTAAGGCGCTGAGATTAGCTGGAACTGCATCACAAAGGGGGCTGCATCCTTGTGTACTCTCACTTCATTGATGTCTCTAAGCAAGAACTCCACCTTGAAATCACACATGATCAGTGTCATTTCCCGCAACCCTTTGAAATAGAAAGCTGTCTCTTTGGAGAAAAGGATCTTGCAGCAATCATCGAAGGGGTCGATCACAAAATCGACCGCCGAATCAGGCCCCTTCCAACTGACCAAGAATTCATCTCTGCTGACCAAATTACCGATCTCGACGCAGGCGTTGGAGAATCTGAAGGGGTCGGTTGTCCTCCTCCTGTTGACACGGAACGAACTCTCGGTTCCCACATTGGCCCTCAGCGGGCGGCCATTCAAGACAAGATCACACTTTCCCGCGGCATCCATTGCTTTCTTAACGGCATCAGGGCGCGCAAAGTGAACAAATGCGTGAGGCACCACGCGGCCGTAATCGTCCTTCCTCGGCACATCGAAGGCATCATCAGTGCCCTTGAAGACGGGGTATGACTCGGGCGGGGTCCAGGACGTCTTCACACGACACCGCCAAATGATCCCAGCTTCGTACTCCAAGAAATCAGCAAGTTCCTTCGCGGAGACCTTCGCATCGAACCCGCCGAAACTTACCTGACTAACAGTCATCTCCTTCTGCTCCGTGTTCCTATGGAACGAATCCATGGCGTCCTAAATCAGAGGAAACCGGACGATCGGGTGTCGCTGCTATGATTGCGAAGATCTCCAATACGAAAATTAAGATTATCGATTAAGTCGGGAAACAAAACAAATCAAATCGTATCCCATCTCCGACTCCACTCGCGAAGGCTGCCCGAGAAGCGAAGCAAGAAAGGGAGAAATGAAATGGGGGAGGGACGACGTTGGTTACCACGAATGCAGTTCTGCTCCTTCCGCCTCCTTTCTTGCGGCAGTAAAAGGAGTCACGCCATGTGTCGTCCCGAGATTGCAAGATTGAGTTTTAGGAGGGGCGGAGTAAACGCAGACTCCGCGCCGCTGGATTGTTTATAGAATGGTTTTTGCGGCAACGAGGTGGATTTGCTTATAATAAAAATATTTGTATTCCTTTAGCTGTTTTTGTTTTCTCAGATAAAAACCTTCAAATTTTCAGTATTTTCAATGTACGTCTTATTTTGTTTTATTTTTATATAATTTTTTTTTTTAGTCATCTTTATCATTTTACCTTAGGCCTCGACTATATTTGTCTTTGTCTTATCGTCATCACCTTCCACCCTATGCTCCCACTTTCACCCTTCGTAATTATCTTTATATTATTATCTTCGAGATGAGTTAGTGATACAGAGAATATGACCTCCACAAGAATATAATAAAAGAAATGATCATACAAGATAAAGACAGTAAGACGAAAGATAACCACTATAAAATAAAAGCGTTCACAACAAAACAATAGACTAAGGATATTTTCATCTTTTAGCTAAAATAAGATACACTTCACAAGAAGTAGAGCAAAAAATGAACATTTTATGAGAGAAAGTAGACAAAAATGAATAGATAAAAAATTTCATGAGATGCCTATTTTCAAACCCCTATTTACTCTTTATAATCCTATTTTTTTAAAAAATAATATTTTTAAATTATTCCTTTATAAGTGGACTTAAATATATTTTTTTCTTTTTATTATTTTTCTTTCTCCTCAAAGAACGTTGTTGAGGGCGACGAGTACCAGGAGGGAGTGTTAGTGTCGATAAGGAGCATGGGCTTCATTATTGGTAGGGAGCATAGGATAATGATCGACAACAACATTAACAAGGAGTACGGAGTTACGGGAAAGAAAAAAAGATAAATTAATAATAATAAGATTATAAATAATAAAACAAAAAAATATTATTTTTTTAAGGATTATCAATAGTAAAAATGTGGTTGTGAATAGTAAGCTTCAATTAAACCAATATTTTTCGCTAAAAAAATTCCATAGCATGAGTTTACGTGTAATTGCTTTCATATGCCCACTTTCACTATCATCGTCACAATCCCTTGAAAAGCAAATTGGGATGAATTATATATTCAAGGGCCTTATCACCCATAAGGCTATTCATCGATGGGCATCATCAGCGGTCATCGAATGCTTTCAATGAGCGCACTAATTAGCCATGATTATTGTAGTATAATCATCATTCAAGATAATTATATCCTCCAAAAATTGGGTTGCGATGCATTATGCTTTCCTCAAATCTACTCCGCGTTCGTACTTCAACAAAAATACAATTTAGTCTCCTTATACTAACAGGATTAATTGTGATTTTCGCAAATAACACTTTTAGTCAAGCTCAATTTATCATGTAATCCATAATTTTATTGTGAGCATTTGGCAGACATATGATAAGACAATGTGATATTTTTTTATATAAATTATATTTTTATAAAAAAATATAAATTTATTATGAGAAATATTTTAGGAGATTACTATTTATAACTCTTATTTTGAAATCTCCAACCTCATTTTAATGATTTTTAATATATATAAAATATCCCGCAAATGTACCAAAATATCATTCTCTTCTTCTTCCTCCCTCTCCTCTTCTTCTGCAGATAGCAGAGTCGACGGTGACAATGCCAATGGAAGATCGATGATAATAACTTCCTCCTCTTTCGTAGCCAGTAGAGCCAACGATGACGTTAGCGGAAGATCGATGGCAAGTGGGCATGCTCGGGTTAGCAATAGGTGACAATAACTTTCCACACTTCAGTAGCAAGCAAAGCTGATAATAGTGTCAACGAAAGATCAATGATAGATGAGTAGGTCAAGGCCATCAATTAATGATAGTGAACGATAAAGACAAGAACGTGGGTGATGATCGACAACAATAAATAGTGGGGAGAGTCGATAGTAATAACTATGAGGGATAGTAGGGTGTGCAGACAATGAGAGAGTCCGTGATAATATGGTGTGCAAACGGAGGCCATCGAGGAGGGAAAAAAAAAAGGAGGCTAAAAGGAGAATTAAAGGGGCTATAAATAATAAATTATTTTTATTTTTTTTAAGATTATAAATAGTAAGATGAGAGTTTAAATTGGAAGCTCCAGATTTTTAATATGATAACTATGCACGTCCTCCAACAAAATAAAAATCCACCTCAAGGCATTCTTTGATGCGTGTTGATGGTCTTCTAATATTTAGGGCCTACAGGTTTCCCCCATTCATTCATGATTATACATAGTGGCAGTTTAGGCATATCAGCGTTGGCTTTTTGGTGGCCATCCCTCTCTTTAGAACGCCAATCGGGCATAAAGGATCCTCTATGCACTACAATTCTCCTAACCCTCCCTGAACCCATGGGAAATCGACAGGAGTACATACAAAAGACATGGGATTGAAATGCTAAGATCTTTTTCTCTCATTATCTTTCTCTCTTTCCTTATTTTACGGGTATTTGTTCATAGGAGACTCATGATATTTTGTTTAAAGAAAACTTTATTGTAGATCGCCTATAACATGAGTGTCATCCGTAAATATAACTTAGTACTTGATAGGACATATTTTAGTAAAAAGACCCTTCAACAACAGCCATGCCAATGATAACACCATCAGGTACAAGCTCACCCCAAAAAACTTAGGACGACAGCGTCAGGTACAAGCCCGCCCTGACAAACTCAGGACAGTGCCACACAGTGTCGTCCCACACCATAAGACCATCTCCCATATATAGGTATAAATATCCATTGCATGGCCAGTGACACGTAGTGCCATCCCGCACCATTTAACCAACTCCCATGTACAACTAGCTATAAATGTCCACTGCACGGCCAACGTCACGCAGTGCCATCCCACACCATATGACCAACTCCCATGTACAAGTATAAATGTCTACTACTCGGCCAGTGCCGCGTAGTGCCGTCCCGCACCATACAACCAACTCCCATGTATAAGTATAAATGTCCATTGCACGACAGTGCCGTCCCGCACCATACGACCAACTCCCATGTACAGTTATAAATGTTCACTGCTTGGCCAATGCAGTGCAGTGTCGTCCTGCACCAAACAACCAACCCCCATGTACAAGTATAAATGTCCACTGCCCGGCTAGTACCGGGCAGTGCCATCCCACACCAAATGACCAACTCCTATATACAGGTATAAATGTCTACTGCCCGGCCAGCGCCGTGCAGTGCCGTCTTGCACCATACAACCAACTCCCACGTACATGTATAAATGTCCACTGCCCGGCCAGCACTGTGTAGTGCCATCTCATACCATACGACCAACTCTCATGTACAAGTATAAATGTCCATTGCCCGACTAGCGTTGGGGGAGGGTGACACATTCGACTCACTCTCATTTCACTCAATTTTAACTTGAGCTTCGAAGGAATCAGATCAGAAAAAACTCCTCCCAACCTTGGCCCTAAGTGCATGGGCTAGCGATGCGACAGAAAGTGACAAGTTTTGTGACCTATCCCGACATGACGTTCATGTCGCTCATGAAAATTCTTGTGTGAGCACCCTTGGACATTTAGAGCTGGACCGAACCGTGCTGACTCCTCGACCACGGTACAAAGGTGTAATAACACTACTATTCAAAAGGTTGTGAGTTGAAGCGTTCGTAGTTCGATTGATATGAATCACACTAAGTGCATCGGTAGAATGGGGATGCCATTGCAAAGATCTTGAGGGATAAGGGAAAAGGTGTTGATTGAATGTTTGTTTGAGCATATTGATGAGACTTCACCACAAAGTTGGCGAAGCAAAGTTATTTTGCTAATTGAAAATCGTCAACAATAGCCTATCATTCCGCATATAGTGGACTGTAATCAAGATGGTGGGACCAACCCTTACCAATCATGATTCCATCAAAATCGACAAAGCTAATTCTATAGCCTGCAAAAAACTTGTTTGAAAAAGACTCATCCCAAAAAGAGAATGAGTGCTCCACCGAGGGGGGCTTATCCTCAGGGCTTGAGAAAGAGACAATATCGTGGAAAAGAGAGGTAGCCTTAAACTGAAGTATCATTGATCAATGTAGACAAGATGTTTGATGTCTGTTCTTGATAATGTTTTATTTTTTTATTTTTTTCCAAGTTTCTAAGTATTTTCTCGTGGGTAACATGTTGGAGGTAGAAAACATTATTATCAATCACATTTTTGTTTGTTGTTGGTTTTTTTTATTTTTTTATTTTTATAATATAAATTTTAAAAAATATTTTTATTATAAAAATTGATTTAAAATAATTTTATTCTTTATGTTGGTTTTTGATTAATGACTTAGCGATATGAAATATCAATCATCTCAGCACCTTAAATGTCTTTACGTGACATTGGAACGAAGGAAGACTTAGTGTTCTCATTTTCTTTTCAATGAAAGTATTATGTGAATATTAGGCTTGCATATATCGTTGAAACTTTTTTTTTTTGTGTTTCTAAAGACTTTATGTTTAATAAAAAAATAATATTTTATGTTACTTATTAGTTTAATTATATAATACACACTCCTCAAAATCCCCACAAATACAATCAATACAGTAATAACTTCAACCCGCGCCCAACGGAAAAGTCAAAATTACTCACTCCATAATATTCCGTCAAACACGAAATGTCAAATCATCTACGCACGTCGAGATAAACAATTAGAACTAATTTGACGTCATATTCCAATATCCCCTAAAACACGGAGGCTCAAATGATCCATCAGTGTTGATCTTAAAGCACATCAATGTCACAAGATGATACGTTACACAAAAGGTCAAACGATGCATTAGGAAGTCAGCAATTGGGAAGTAAAAAGGACGATTTCTCTTATTTCGGACCGGAAAAAAAACAGAGCTAGTCACGTGGACTGACCCGTGACGTGGTCATTCCACTCTTTTGTAGGGTCCCACCGCTTCTTGGGTCTCTGATTGGTTCTCTAACTTCAGATTACCTTCCTGGTAAGTTCGTCTTCCGCGGATATCAGCCGGCCTCCAAGCACCACTAATTTCCAATACGCACCCAAACGTTCTTCCCTCCTTCCACGGAATACCCGTCCAAG